CAAAATTGGGCTCTCAAACGCTAAGGATTTCGAGAAATTAAAATGTCAATTTTATAGTGCTCCCGGTAATTTTCAAATAGCGCCTATACAGCCATACAATGGTAGCTGCGACGATGAAAATCTCGGAATATGCAGTTCTGATATATAATTTCCAAATGGGAATAGAAAATCGTCGATTGTAGTCAAGAGACACTATTTTAAAGCTAAAGTAATATCAATCTTGAGAGGTAGCTAATTTACAACATAAAGAGTTTATTATTCAACAATTTCATCACCGTAGACTCGATTTCAACCGTGACAACGATCATTGAACATTGTAGGATCGCGTATCATCAAAATTCATGACCCCATACCAAAACTTTGTATTACCTCTAAGGAAAATACGGAATTTCGGAAAATCTTAGTACTATACCTCTTTGAAAGCCAAAAAAATGAAAAGGTTAAATTCCAACGGCATTTGAAATATAACACTAATTTAGAACTTCCCTAAAAAAAGGGGGGGGGGGGCTTGAAAATGTCTTTAAGTGGGAAAATAACGACAATTAGTTATCGAATCGACTTAAGAGCTATAGAGCCAGTATAAATAATAGTCTGATTTTCAGACCATTGTACCGAATGGTCGAACGTTTTTTGTTGCGTAAAGATTCAATCAGTTTAATTTTGGCCATTACAAGAAGTAGGTTATTGATTTAGACAAATGCTCAGGTGCCCTCTACAGCTCATTTTATGTTATTACCAAAGAAGAAAAAAAGCCAGTCAGTCACTTAATAGTGTCTGACAGTGAAGTCTATATAGCAAATAAACGGTTTTCCTTGCATAATTTGAATATGAGGACACTGCTAACGTTTAAATTTCACAAATAGGACATAGTACATGACATATTCATAATTCCTGCAAAGTTCTACAGCATTTGAGGTTGGCTGCAAAAGGGACATAGTACCTTTAAAGCGTGTTACAGTCTTTAGTCAGTATTTGCAATACATTTTGTTGGTGTGCACTTTTTTTCAAATTATCCATGGGGGACGATCCCCCTCAGAAAATTGAGGGAAGACGTGTACCCCGTCCTTCCCCCGGGATCGCCGCCCCTGACTCGCACATTTCGCTTTCAATTGCAGAACGCTCTAGTTGTGTCCAAGAGAATAAATTCTCGGAATGTGGGGCATCTCGCAAAAGACATGGGGGAAAAATGTGTCGTGTGAAAAGCCAGGGAAGGACACAGACACAAAGGCCCGAATTCACAAAGGCCCGAATTCACAAAGGAGGTTTGTAGACAAACCTATGTTTATGTGCGTCATAATTATATGAAGCGTTTCAGACAAACGCATCGAAACGCGTCATAAAAATTATGAAGCACATAAACCTAGATTTGTCGACAAACCTCCTTTGTAAATTCGGGCCAAAACCTCCATGGGTGCGATGTGACCTGTGTGGACGTTGGCTCCACCTATTTTGTGTTTTGCTCAAAAAACTATCCACAAAAAAGGACCATGCATGCCCCTTTTGTGAAGCGACCTATCAATATTAATGTTCACATATCAGTCCCTTTTTTAATTGCCCTCCTCCCGCCCCCCCCCAAGAAAAAATATTATCACATTGTTACATGTGTGCACAATATATATTGATGTGTCAACCTAACGAGAGTGGTGTTTTCATAATGATTATTGACCTCCTTTAAATTTATATTTATATGGAAGACTTAAGAAGACATCTGTTTACAGTCCAACTAAGGGTGTAGAGCATGCCGTGTAGACTAAAATGTGCAATGTTGTTCAATTTCTGAATTCTTTTTTTAAAAAACTTGTTTGCTGTCAATAGTGTATACATTTTTTTTATACATTTCAAATGTCTAGTCCGGTTAAAAATAGCACGTAATGATTTCATTATTGACACATACTTCACATTGATTTATCTTATCGATAAGCGAAACGATTTGCTTTAGTATCATAACAAATATAACAGTAATGACAAGTATGGTTTTCCCAGAAAATTGCATTATACAATGTATATTCATCGTTATGGAAAATGTTGTATAATAATACAATGGGCATTAACATTTTCCAGACCAATGATTAAATTATGTTAATATTGAAGCTGTTGCCCTTTGTATGTACATGAACTTGAAATAATAAGTAGCCTTGAAAGTGTCGCAATAAATCATGTGTGAGTGAGCTTGAAGTTTAATGGTGTATGCTTGTTTGATACTGTATAGCCTTTACTCTATTTTTAATATATCTCCAATCAAATCAAACTGAGTGATGTTATCGTACAACTTAACAATATTAATCTTCTGTTCTCCTAAATAAGCCTGGGAAACTTGAAAATTGCATTACAATGTGAATTCATTGTCAATGTAATACAATACAGAACAATGGACAAATAATTGTTTCCAGACCAATGATTTAAGTAAGAAGAACTTACATTTTATATTGAAACTGTTGCCGTTGTATATACATCAGGCGCGGATCCAGGATTTCTTAGGGGGGGGGGGGGCAAAATTTGAAATTATGCGAGCCAAATATTGATTCGTAATGGTGACCAGCAGTGACGTAATATTGTGGGTGGTTGGGTGCAGGGAGGGGCGAGTTTCCCCTCCCTCCTCCGCGAAACGCGGAAGCTTTGACATTTCAATAAATTATTAGAGAAAGAAGACGATTTGTTGTACCGTTCCAAAAAAATATTCCTCGTCTGAATTTAGTTTTCCCCTTCCCGCGCTAAGCGGAAGCTTACGTTTCATTAAATCATTAGAGAAAGAAGACGATTTGTTGTGTCGTTCCCCAAAAATAATCCTCGTCTGAATTTAGTTTTCCCCCTCCCGCGCTAAGCGGAAGCTTACGTTTCATTAACTCATTAGAGAAAGAAGACGATTTGTTGTGTCGTTATCGACTCTTAATCTTTGTCTAAATTCAGTTGTTTTCCTACGTTCTCTTCCTTCCTTTTGCCCACCCCCCGCCCTCCTTCCTTCTCTTTTATTTTTTGATTGGGGGGGGGGGGGGCAACAGTCTGGGAGGCAAGTCCTTTTGCCCTCCTCCCGATCTACTTCTTCCCTCATTTCTTTTCTTCTTCCTCTTCTTTTTTTCCCTTTCTCTCCTCTTTCCCTGTCCCTTCTTTCCTTCTCTCTCTCTCCTTTTTTTTTTTTTTTTTTGCGGGGGGGGGGGGGGGGGGGCGCCAAGGCCCGCTTGGCCCCCCCCCCCCTGGATCCGCGCCTGCATAGTGTGTGTTTCTATCGCTCAAGACAGCTGTATTAAAAGCTCTAAATTGTTCACATCGCGGTCCTGGTTGCATGGTTGCATTTGCATGGTGAACTTAGAACTCAAACGATTGTCTTATTTACTCGGCGCTTCGAAAATATACCCCTAACTCGAAATATTTTGCGAGATAGGCCTATAATGCAATTACTAATTGACTAAACATCCATGAACGCGCCATTATCACTTGTCAAATATTGCTCAGTCACGTCGCGGATTTGGTTGCATGGTGAACTTAGAACTCAAACGATTTTTTTATTTGCTAGAGGATTACAAAAATATTACCTCTAATTCGAAATATTTTGCGAGATAGGCCTATATTTGTATGCAATTACAAATTGACGAAACGTCCATGACCGCATTATCACTTTAATATTGCTCACGTTCTGGTTGGTGATACAATCATGCTGGGAGCTCGAAATCATAAAACAGAAATAGCACAGGAATGATGAACCAAGAAATTCGGCGGTCGCATCAAATACTTTTTTCTCTCTGTATAGTTCCTTATTCACTCATTCATTTATTTATTTATCTTGGTGGTTGTTATAATTATTATATAGGGGGCGCTGTTTGATCTATATCAACTTGCTACGTCGCATATTATAAATGGTAAATGAAGAACGAAAATATAATGTCGAGCAAAACGTTAGACAATGTGGGTGGAGTTTCTTCGTCCGAGTTCAATTTGTTAATTAAAATAATAACACATTTTATACAAAATGATTGGCTGCTGTTAGACCACTTTTGTTTCTCTCTCTCTCTCCCCCTCTCTCTTATATATATTTGTCTCTCTCTCTCCCCTCTCTCTCTGTCTCTCTCTCCTCTCTCTCTCTCTCTCTCTCTCTGTCTCTCTCCACCACCTCTTTCTCTCTTTTTCTTTCTATGTATATAGTCTCAAGCAAATTAAGCTCCTACTTGAGAACATGAAGTTGAGGGGAGTGTGCAGGAAGTGGGTGTGGTGGTGTTGGGGCGTTTCATTATATTGCTACTACTGTCAGTGATTTTGTGGGAATCAGTTTTGGGAGATTCAACAGAATGGAGAAAAAAAATTGGGTCATAATAATGGCGTCTGTGGGGGGGGGGGGGGGGGTCGGGGAAGGCAGTAATGGTGTCACTGGACCGTGTTGAAAAAACGGGGTAGCTGACGTATAAGCACATGCATCGACATCGTGATGATCAGGGAAGACCTGAACATATATATAGATATATATATATATATATATAATTATATATACATATATATATATATATATATATATGCTCTTGCTATAGCAAGAGCAGTAATAATAAATGTATAGCACTGTTTGTCCTACTTCTCCCTTATGTCCCGCCTATATAGCATTGTTTCATTGGCGGGTGGCCCATTTTCCCCGTAGTCAAGACCTCATTGTTTGTAATGATTTCTTTGCATACAACTTAAACAAGTAGGAAGGGAAATATGTATCCTAGAACTACTTTTAGTACAAATGGAGAGGCTTAATTACTACGTTTACAAAGTAAAAACTTATCCGCGTCACACGGCTTCACACATTCTCCCATTCGTATGCCAAAAAGAATTTAGGCCTATTATATGTTTGATGTGGAGGGGGGAGGGGGTACCCCTGCAATCCCTAAGCCTCCCCCTTCATCCGCTAATGTGCACGAAATGACGTTGTCATCAGCACCACTGAAGAGAAAAAAAGAAGAGATTTTCAGGGGAGATATTAGATCCGATATATCAGGACTTGATCAGGTACCGTATAGGGTCTATATACAAATTGTTTACTTCGGATATTATATTGTCGACTGTATACTTCTCCGACTACTGTCGGGGCATCGCCATCGGAGTCTCGGGTCATGGAGAAACTATTGGAAACTATTGGAATGGAAACCCTACAAGAAGCAGGAGGATGTTCATCAACTTCTATAGAATCTATGGTAAATACTAAACAAATCTTAACGTGCGTTATGTTTATTATTTGTCATTGCATTTCGTCTACTTCCACTCGATATTGTTTAGGGCTTGGTCCACCGCGCGTCGCTCCTCCACAACGCCTGAGTTGCGGCGGTACGTGTTTGGTGCGGCACGGTCGTGTGATTGTGCGCAGTGCAGTACGAGGTGATCAGATATGGGATGGTAGTAGTAGGCCTAGTCTGGGGCTCGTTCCTAGAAACCAAAGGACAAGACAGTCATAACTTTATCCGCCAACTACGGAGATGTCCCTGATCTTTCTAAACCGTTTTGCGAAGAGCTTACTAGATAGATATCTCGTGAGATCGATACTATAGTATATCGGCGAGAAGAGGTGCCATGCATGACTAGGCACATTCATGGGGCACTAGAGGGCGCTTCGGTCGCGTACGAAAATCTGAATGGCCTTGCTGCGGTGGGTCGGCAATAATCAGACCAAAACTTGGATATGGGAGGTTGGAAGGATATATATCTTTTTTATAATGTTATCCGGTCTTACCCTTAACCATCCTATGTTTAATCTATGTAGGAATAACATGCGAGTATGATAAGAGAAACATCGGGACCATTACTGAAGTAACTTTTTAAATATTAGCCTAGAAATGACCACCAAACGGAAAAAATTGACATTTTTTCCCAACAAATCTTCATAAAATCTGAGTTATAAACAATTCACATCTAGGTACACTAATACAAATACGATTTTCTGAAAATTCAGGTATGATTTTTTAAGTTTCTTTCAAGTATATTTCTGCGCATTGCAGCGCCAATATTCTTCACTGCTTCAAAATCACCCTTGATTTTTTTTTTTGCAACGAATTTGATACGAGGTCCGCGAGTGTTCCCCGTTCCTTGCGTGTTGAAAGTTTGGTAATACATAGTTTGCATTGACTCGCGCACGAAAAAATGGTCAAAAACAAAATGTCAAATGAAGAAATAAACAAGCTTTTGTATAGTTATAAGAGTTCTACCGAGGTTTCTTTGTCGATTTAATTTATTATATAGTCTCAATTAGAATGCAGAATTATCTCAATGAAAAGTTAAGAAACCGACGATGTTCTTGATCGTAGTTATTTTCATTTTGCCAGCAGCCGATCTAGCGTTGTTTGGGCAAAAAGCTAGGCCGCTGCCTTCCCACCGCAAACCTTTCCGAGTCCCGCTAAAATGGCGCGCTGCGGAGCTCCGAAGCTGCGTTGGTATCGCTGCAAACTCTCAGCCGGCTAGCTCCCCACGACGGACCAATCGCGGTATGGTGAGAGTGTGTGTGTGTGAGGTATGATTTTGGATTCGAGAACGCACGTAACGCTACCGTGCACGTCATTTAGAGCTGTCGAATGTGTACGACCAATTTTACATGTACGATTTTTAGTACAGATACTTTGTCAGTTTTCTTCTTATATCTTTGGTTTTACAACATTTAAAAATATAATTTCTTCAAATCTGCTCCTGACTCGGTTCAGACTAATTGTCTGATGTGTTTTCAAGTCAATTTTTTGAATATATTTTTTTGCATGAATTTGCCTAGCATGACTTACTTACTAGTGTAGTGATTCAGCCCGAGCCAATACGGCTCTGGCGTTTATAAATGCATATGCGAGCAAGTCCCGCATTTGGCGACACCCGCGGTTGTCTCCGTGGGCATACCCAATACTGGGAATGTCAGATTTGACCTGAGACAGCAAGCGAGCAACACGAGCCGTCTGCCCTTCTCATTGAATCTCAAATCAACGCAGCTTCAAGTGGAGCTCCACACGTCGATGCTACATCGAGACTTCGAGTACCAGTTAGTTCTACAGCCTAGTAGCCTGGTAGGATCTAGACCTTTTTATAGTATTAGTAGTTAATCCTAAGAAGTATTTCGTAGTTAAACAGTAGGTCTAGGCCCAGTAATATTAATAACCGCCCCGTCACTATATTAGCCTTAGTCGCAATACCACCGGATTATTAATATTACAAAAGTAATATTATTATTAGGGAAAATGCAATTATCTAAAGGCACACTGGTCACTGTCCTACTTGTAGCTACTTGCTCCCTCTATATAGAAAACTTCCACAATCAGCGCCTGTTGGTCCCCCATGATCCTCTTTTTCTTAAAAATGAGAGCTGAGTTAATGAGATAGCCACCTGTCACAGTGACCTCGCTGGGTGGTCTAATCCCAAGTTCTAGCTGAAGTAGTAAAGCCTGCCTTTAAATGAATTAGTAATAAAAAAAAGATTGAAAGTGATACCAAGAAATAAGAGATGCAATATACTTCCAAATTTGTGTAGATTATACAACAGAAGTACAATGTACTTGTAAAATATAAATGTGAGTATTTCATTACATGACCGGTGAATCAGTTTTGTTCTTGAGATGGGTACCCCCCGGATATTTTCATTTGATAGTTTATAAAAATGCACCCTTATATTCTTCTTAATAAAAATACAATGTTTTGAAAGTTTTGTCTGTTGTTTTAGGCGTCAGTACAATATTCAAATGACAAAACTTTGACATTCCAAACGTTAAAACTCATGTTTTAAAGTTTTTATTTTACACATTTGAAGATAGAATTTATCTGGAAAGCAATATGGGTCTGAAAACTAGAGAATACACTTCTAACTATGGGCAAATTGCCTGTCGTGGCAGATTACCCATCCTATCGAGGATTTTACAATGTGGAAATAAACACATATAATCAGTTCAGTTAAAGGGAGTGGGTACATGTAGTCAGTTTCCATGTGCAGAAAGCCGTAATTCGCTGACACCAGACTTGGTGGAAATACCATTAATGGGAGTACAAATCTGCACACAGCATTCCGGTTGGCCCGTCAAGAATTACCCCCTAGTCTCTCGGAGCATGCTCGGAGATTCTAGTGCGAAGGAAAAACAAAGCATTACATAAGGTCTAATGGTCATAAAACTCAAGGCTAACCCTGGTGATTGACAACACCTGTTATTGGGTAAACACCCAATGTGACATGATTCAAGTCTACAAGATCATGCATGGCCTCAACGATATCAAGATAAACAATCTGTTTACAATGAAGGAGCTGGAAACCAATCTACGAGGCCACAACATGAGGATCCACAAGGAGCGTGCACATCTCAACATCGGCAAGTATAGTTTCACACACCATGTAGTCAACACCTGGAACAAACTACCGATGTCAGCAGTGAATGCACCAACCATAAACAGATTTAAATCAGAGGTGGATGCCTATCTTTCAACGCAGCTCGACACGTTTAGTTACATTATAGGCCCAGCAGGTGATAATCCTGTTGAGTCTTCCCACAGATCCAGCAATGGACCTATTGTATTACGGAACAAACTATTTGCAGTGGTGTACTGATGAACTATGGGAGGGCATTGCAAGACATTGTCTTACTAAGGAGCCCGAAAGACAGGTGAAAAAGGTGAAATAACCATGGCATATTTAAAAAAAATTTCAAATATAAAAAAACAATAACTCCCTGTTTAAGTGAATATGTAGTATTAAGATCATAGCCAGAGGATTTCTTGTCCTTTTTTGCCAGCCATAGTCTACCCAATAAATGACATGTGATGGCGCTACCCATCGACTAAAAAGTTACGACGGAGATATGATGGTGTCAGAGGCGTCATAACTACTTAATCAGGATGTTGTTGTTGATCTTGGCAAAGAGGGCTTCATGAAACATGTAGCGGACAAGTTGCTCACTAACGCTGATTTAGTCAAGAAGTTAGACTTACAAATGTATGACGGTTTCTAGGAACGAGCCCCAGGAAACTAACTAGCTTAGTCACTCACTGTTGTCAGAACTGGACGAGCATGGAATACCCTCGACCAGCAGTCTGTAATAGCTACATCAGTTGATAATTTCAGAAACACACTCTAGCATGCATCACCTGCCATACAAGTTAGCGACATGCGGAATACCGCCCTGCTGACTCCAATTTTAGAAGGTTCAGAAGGTTCAGTAGATCCTACATGTACATGTAATATTTCTAACGTTAAGAAAAAGCTAAGGGCTACATGTAGGTGATAATTAAGTGATATTGACTGCCTTCAGGGCAATACAACATTATATCGCCCGAAAGTAGGAAGTAGGCATGGTTTACAAGCATACTCCATGGCCTGGTTGATCTTCCAGTCACCTACTTCATACCAGTTGTTGGTCCCGGCACCCGTGGAAATCCACAGAAGTTCCATGTTCCCTTTGCCCGAACTCTGCTATTCCAAACCACATTCTACCCAGATACTATCCGACTGTGGAACTCCTTACCATCTGCTGTCGTCGATTGCACCTCTTTGGAACTTTTCAAGCAGAAGGTGCAACACATTAAGCTCCGTTGAGCTTCAGACTGTTTTTAGCTGCACATAGAATTCTTTTAGAGGCTTTTTACTTGCACTGTACACTCGGCACTTGACAAGCACACGGTACGAATACCCCAACGGCGGTCTGTACTCTACTGGAAGGTGGGGGGGGGGGGGCCAAGGTGAAGGTGACTGATATGACAAGTCGTATTGCCCTGAAATTAGGCAGTCAATAATATTATATACAGATATTGACTGCCTAGAGGGGCAAAATAACATTTGATATCCTCGAGGAAGTTATATTTTGGTCGAGGGCTAGGGACATTATATTTTTCCGAAGTGCATAGTATAGTATTCCGAGACAAATCGCGCCGGCCAATAATCCATTTTTTCGATATCAAAATTATGATATATCAGTCAAACCCTCTATTTGTTATGATTTTTTCAATTAAGTTTAACGTCCTATCAGAGTGACGGAGCGTTTTCACTTAAAGGGACTTGGTAACATTGATCAGATGAGAGATAGTGGTGCTAAGGTAGTGACTTCAATGCTAGATGTACATGTACAATAAAAGATAATCTGAAAATTTGAGTGAAAACAGACCATTATTCATGGTACAAATTGGGAAAACTGATCCGATCGATTCCTGAATTCTCCCAACTATATTATTACAATTTAATTACATTTTACATGTAGGTGAATGGAAATCGTCACAAAGCAATAAAATGGCTCTACATTCCATTCCAAACATTTAAGTGTTGACAGATTTTTTATGGCCTGTTTTATGTCTTTTTTTATGGCCTGTTTTATGTCTTTTTTTGGTTGGGAAAATTCAATAATTGGTTGGAATTTACTGTTACTCACTGTTATACTCTTTTCACACTGGCAATATTTTGCTTAACCCTGTACTATAGGTGGGGTTAAAGGGTATCTTAGCCCCACCTATAGTCCGGGGTTAAGCTTATTCCACTTTCTTTTCACTCTGGCAAAATGTTGCTTAACCCCGTACTATAGGTGGGGTTAAAGGGGGGTCTTAGCCCCACCTATCGTCTGGGGTTAAGCCTATTCCACTTTCTGTTCAGACTTGTATTTATCAAAGTGGGCTAGCCCCACTTATACTCTTTTCACACTGGTTTTGCTTAACCCCGTACTTTGCTTAGCCCCGTACTATTCTTAACCCCAGACTATTTTGTTTGGCTTTTCACACACGCTGTTTTTAGTCCCGTACTAGCGCCTATTCCGGAATAAGAAAAGTCACGCTGTTCTCATTGTAATTCGTTAACCCCGGATATCGTGAATGTTATGATTCAGGGCTCAAATTAATTTTTTGTCCACAGGGGCTCTTCCCCCGGAAAAAGAGCCCCCGTGAGCCTTCTCACGGGGGCTCTTTTATTACTGACGGGGGCTCTTTTTTATACAAATATCTATTGAATTGGTACCTATGATACTCCTCAATTATTTGCTATTTCATCATTATCATTTTAATCAGCATTTTCCCTCTTACAAATTTACAAGCTACATAGCTGTTACTGGCCTGTGTATATAATATATACGCATACAACACTGATCTTTATGATGTCTTTAACGTGACATATCTTCTTCTCCCCTTGCAAACGAAAAAGAAAACATGGTCATTAAAAGGGATTAAGCGACAAATAATGATTGTGATTCAAATTGATGCGAATATTTGTTTGAATAAGCACTATTATTCACCCGAATCATTTTTGTAAAAACAACTTTTACAAATATCAGCCATGCTTACTGAGTTGAGACGTTCCATTCAATTTAAAATACCCATTACATAATACACTTCTCCTAATCTCAAAGTGATCTTACAGCACAGTGGCAGAATTGCATGGCTGAGATTTGTAAAGGTCGTTTTTACAAAGAAGATTCTGGTGAAAAGCATTGCATATTCAAAAAAATCCTTGCATCAATTTGAATCACAATGATTATTAGTCGCATGGTCCTTTTATTAAATAACCTTGTTTTCTGTTTTGTTTGCAGAGGGAGAAAAAGCTATGTCACGTAAAGAAATCGTAAAGATCAGTTGTATAATGCGTATATAGATATGATACCAGAACAAATGTTGATTATCAGAATGTCATTTTGGAATACCTCTATACAAATACCACATTGTCTTTAGCCCGTATTAGTATTAGTATGATCCAATATAAAGCTATTATTCTTTATTTAATTCAGTATAATGCTTTTCCTCAAAAATAGTTTTGCTATTTTTTTAGGATTGAGACGCTAAGAAATGGTTTCAAATGTACATTACACGAACCCTGAACCATTGCAAAATGATGGTGGTTCTCTCTCTCTCTCTCTTTATTTTAATCATGCATTATCAACTACATATAAAGCAGCAACCAAAAACTAAGGGTTATCTGAGATAGGTGAAAGTAAGAGTTAAAAAGAAAGTCATGCTAAAACGGCGCTTCACTTCCCCCCGCCCCCTGAAAAAAACAAAATAGATTAGTAGTCCTGCTCTCCAGAATCCCCCTCCCCCCCCCCCCCGCTTTAATATCACATTTTCACTTGGCAGTCCAAGGGGGCCGGGGGTGGGAGGAGGGGGTTAAACCCCCTACCCCCCCCCCCCCCCCCCCCGTAGATCTGCCCATGTTATCATATCATTCCATGCAGGGGCGGCGATCCCGGGGGGGACGGGGGGGACACGTCCCCCCTCAATTTTTTTAGGGGGGGATTATCCCCCCCTGGAAATTTGAAAAAGTGCAAAACAAATTGTATAGCATATACTGAATAATGACTGCAACACACTTTTAGGCTCTGGAAGGCCCAACAGTGCAGCGTTTACACTAATAAAATTGCAAAACATCCTCGTAAAAAAAAAAAAAAAAAAAATCGCATTTCGTCCCCCCCCGGTCATTAACAGAAATCGCCGCCCCTGATTCCACGACATTTTGGTCTTCCTCTTCTCCTCAAAAGGGACTTTTAGATTTGCGTGGACGTGGACGTGGACGTGTTACGTCCTTTTAAGGCACTGGCAATCACATGTGACGTCCTTTTAAGCACTGGCAGTGCCTTAAAAGGAGGTCACACGTTGCAGTCCACGTTCTCATCGTGCAAATCTAAAAGTCCCTAATATTGATTTACTGGTCGAGGTTCATTATTTGCTGCCAACGAAAAACTTCTCCAGGCCATGACCATGTTTCTGCCCTTGCCCGATCGCCTCCAGCTCCAGCAGACATGGCGCGGCAGCGTGCACACGCACCGCTACTAACGGTGCAGTAGGCCTATAACCACTGCTGATGGCGGCACTGCACTGCGAGCTGAATCGGTAATAATAGGCCTACTCATAAAACGAGAAATCTTGCACGCTAATCTTAGTTCCATTTCATTGGTTTAAGGTTTGAAAATTGAAACTCAATATTGTGTTAAAGTTATAACAGAAAAGATTATCTTTATTTTATAATTCCACCGGGGTGATTTTTAATTTTGCAATCGCCCCCGTGAGCAACCTGACGGGGGCGATTTTGTAGCTCACGGGGGCGAATCGCCCACCGCCCCCGTGTATTTTGAGCGCTGTTATGATTGGACATACTTCGCATCTGGCCAGCTGCGATATGCTCCATTGCGTAGTACCGGACTATTTGTTGTTTCAGTTCTCATTCATTTGCTTGGCACTGCAATTGCAGGGTTAGCCAACTTTAGCCCACTTTGGTAAAAGCCAGTCTGAACAGAAAGTGGAATAGGCTTAAGGAGTAGGAGGATATACATGTACATGTTTGTAACCGTCTGGTATGGGGGATTCTTGAATAAAACTGAACTTTGTCAACCTTCCCAATACACATAATTTTATATCGTTAATTTTTTCAATTAATGTAATATATACATGTATAAGCTAAAGTAGATATGATGAAGACGCAAAAAGTAAAAAACCTCGTAGCATCTCATTCATCTCTGTTCAGCCGAACCGACCCATTCCCTCCTCCCCATACGATGTACTGTACCTATGTAGAGGCGTTCAGTGGAGCCAGACGTACAGTAGTCTCAGTGGAACAACCGTCAATATCAGAGGCTGAAGCTTTCGGTCTAGCTGTGTATGAATGTGTAAAAGCACTCACACATGTACAAGGTTATGTTTCATAATTTCTCGTTTTTAATTTTATCGTAGGTTGGGAGAAAGGGTACCAGGAAGAGAAAGAAAATCACTCGTGCAGATAGAGAAACAGACACCTCTCCACAGCCAAAACCAAAGAAGGTGAAAAACGCAACAGGTAAATTCAGTAAAGAGGAGAAAAAGAGAGAGAGAGTGAGAGATAGAGGAAACTCCCGGGGGGTGTTTCACAAAGACTAAGATTGACTTTAAGTTGGGTTTAACTATGGCAGGACGTTCATGTCACTGTTTGCTCTCACCATTTACTGGCAATGGTCTCTCAAGGGACGTACAAATCATGGTCACACATCTACAGAATTTAGCTTTTTTGATAGTTCCTTATTGAAGGAAAAAATTTCATCTAAAGATCATAATTGAGAGACCAATGATGAGAGCAACAAGTGACATGAATGGCCTATCATATTTAAGTCCATCTTAAAGTCGATCTTAGTCTTTGTGAAACACTCCCCTGAAGAACTGCATATAGAAAAGGGTACATAAGACTACACACACATGTAGAGATCTGAAGCTTGAAAATGTAAAATTACACAGAGTCTTCTCCCCCTTCATCCTGCTTTAAAAAACATTGGGATGAGAGACATTAAGAATAAGACTTGAGTTATAATCCAGAGTTCTGGATTTAAAGGAAAATAATTCAGGCTTTAGAAAATGAAGCAGACTTACACAGAGAGATTACAAGCACTTACTTTAGAAGTTTCATGACCAAGGTAATAGTTCTTGTTACATGTACCGCAACTATGGTATTTGGCCGTAGAGGGCAACATTGACCATGTGTATATTTGGCAAAGGCACTTTTGGTTTCCATACAAATATATTGGGTCAAGAACTGGAAAGTCCGATAGAAATTACAAATAGTTTCAGAACGGACAAACTATAAGTAAAAGATTATGATGGTGCCTACATAGATCTCATCAAATCATTGGGGGAGTTCCAATAATAATTTAGTAAAAAAAGGAATTAGTTGAAAATGACACTGCTGTGCATTCTCTATGGAAGGGATTGGAAGCCGGAAGAAAGCTTGTCTTATCTTCTTGCCCAGTATCTGCACATGTGCTTACTTGCGCAGTGCGGGAGGAAGGTTGCCATCTATTGTTGAACATCGTATTGCAGTAGGTTCAATCGTCTAGTGAAGAATCTTCTTTTTTTGTCTTCAAAATGATTGTTGCAGTATGAATTGATTTAGCTGCAATTCTAGTGTGAGACTAATAATCTTTGTAAAGTAAAGTTTTCTGTTCTTCATACCATCTAGGTAAACCCTTTTGTTGTGACAGCTGCGGTTCTCGATTTGTTGTGAATCCACTTCGACGTAAACCCGGTCAGAGTTCCAAGGGCAAGGCAACGCCTCGTTATGTGGTAGATCAAGAGAGCCAGAAACTCCTGACTCTCTGCAATGCATGTGGTAAGAAAATCAATTACTCTCAAGTTTGTTTGCTTGTCAGCCTTCTCTTCCTCATCTTCTTCATTTACAGTAATGTCGGTTTTAACTTTAATACTAAATGTACCTTGAGGGTAAATGATGAAATTTAGAGGACTACACCACCTTGTTCAAGTACGTGTATGTTCTGAAGAAAAAAATAGAACATGAGCACTTGTGTTGCTGGGGTAATAAAAGTGCATCATAATGTGATATGATAATGTAATATACATGAATAGAAAATTATTATTATTATATGTACTGTAGTAGTAGTAGTAGTACTGGTGATGGTAGTAGTATTGGTGGCAGTGGTAGTAGCAGCAGCAGCAGCAGTGGTACAACATTCCTAGTTCAATACATGTAAATATAAACAAGTCATGCAGTATGTTTAGAATTTGTGGAACCATTTGCAGTATACAAATAATACACATCAGGGAGGGCATAAGTAATTTTACTAATGCCCGAACAAAATGATGTGTATTATTTGTTATATAAGATTATGTTTTATTTGTTTTATAAAATGATGTTTAATAACATGCTTTTGATAATGACCGGTCATTATCCAAATTAGGTGCTGGGAAAAATAAATGCCTGGTTACGTGTAAGCTTTCAACCAATCATTTTATTAGGATCCACGTCTTCATCTTATAATTTTTTATAACTATTCTCTATTTTTCTTCTCACATTTTCCCTTTTGTCTGTCTAGGCATTAAAATGGAGAGAAAGAGCAGGGCGCCCCCTCGTGACCCGCCGCCGTCAGTGGAGGATAAGCAGCGTTACTACGAGAGTGCACAACACTTTGCCGCTTCGTTGGTTGAAGGGCTTGGGGAGCCCGATGGTATGTTCCTTAACCCTGTGGTGAAAGGGCATTTTCAGCTGCGGCACCTTCTCTTTAGAATAATTTACCATTTAATTTGAGAATCATAACTTCCTTAGAGACCTTTACATCCAAGCTGAAATTTCATCTTAATCTATGCGACACATTGTGAAAGTAAAAGAATATATTCAGTCTGTTTTTTGCTATGAAATCATGTATGCATTTAGGAATATGCATGTATTGTACATGTATACCTGCTTTTCTATAAGAAAAGTAGTTTCATCATTTGAATGCCATTATTTGTTATTCATTTACCCCTATTCATGTTGCCCTTTTTGAACTACATTTAATCTTCTTTAGCAATGCCTGACTTGAGAATATGACACTCTTATTTTCACCTCTATTTTTTCTCCTTGTTTGTCTTATAGATGCCATTTATTATTGTCGTTGTTACTATGATTTTTTTCATTTGATTGCAGCCGAAAAGTTGACGTGTCCAGTTTACAACACCAAACCCTGTGGTTGCATTCAAAAGTTCATCATTGGGGAAGGTACGTACCTAGTAGAAAGAAACCACTTGCAGGATGAACATTAAAGATAAACTTGAGTTCTGGTAAAAAAAGAAAATGAATTCTCACAGAATCAAACAAAACTTACACTGAATCTTCAAGATTACAAATAGATGTCATTTACCAAACAGTTTTGGTAGGAAATGTATGCTGGCTGAGTAATGAGCATAGAAAGATAAGGAAATAAAGGTAAGTAGACCCTACACCATTGTGTAGTCCCATATACATCTTTCTGTGTACAGTGCTTGTTACTTTACCAAGACTTGGCCAAATTTACTATGATTTTAATGACTCAATACTTACATGCTACATGATCAACTGTTTCTGATCCATTCCACACCTTTTCATTCACAATGCAATCGCATGACCAGAACTCAACTTTATCTTTAACGCCAATCTTGAATTCTGATTACAATGAGGGTGCTGCACAGTAGAGATTGTACCTCATAGAGTAGAGAAAGATTTTAATATATCAATATCAAGTCCCGCTCTTCCGCAGGTCAAAGTCATGGGGCATTAAAAATAGTTCCCTACCTTAGAGGTTGTATGTGAGAAGGAAGTACTTTGAGCTCCATGAATTCACCTTTGACCGTGTGTCGCAACTACATGTATCTCTATCAATATGCTATGATAGCGATCATACATGTAGCTCGTAGACTAGAGATGGTTGTGACTCGCACATGTGTTTGTGTGTTCAAGGTCAGTCCGTGGAGCTCAAAATTGTTCCCTCCCCCATACAATGTCTATTGGGGGAAGAGGGGATTATATCTAGCTACATTAATCTTTCCACTGCTAGCTATGGCAATTATTCACTGTTGTTTTGAATACCAATGGGAGTTGGATTTTTGTATGTTGTATGGGCAATAGAACTTGAATCCTTGAATTGCATTTTGAGATAAACTTTTAAATGTTTATTTGTATTGTTCCTTTTACTATCATTATGTCATGCGCAGTTGAGTATATACATATAGAAACTGCGCATTATAAATTTACAATTATTATTATTAAATTTACAATTATTATTAAACTGGCTCACCGTGACTTAAAACTATTCATCATGCAGTTGATGTCTTTCAAAGCAACAATATTTACTGTATGTAATAACTAACAAAAGTGTATAATAAAGTTGTGAATTGTAAAAAGGTGCAATAAGTGATCATGTGAGAGTTTTCAAATTTGCAAATCGTTGATGTCACCCTGATGTAGTGTCGGACAACTCATCCATTTGTTTGGATGTTCCTAAACACAAAATGACTAAAATATATTTTTGCTCAAATATATGACTTAGTAGATCTTTATACCTAACTGAGGAGGCACGATAGCTGTCGGTAGAGCAGTGGTCTCGTAATCCGGTGACCCGGATTCGAAACCAAGGGAATGCGGTAGTGCCCTTTGGTAAGGCATTAATCCTCATTACCAGGTCCCTCAGAGAGGACCTAAAGCTGTCGGCCGTCTGGTTGCTTACTTACAAGCATTTGTGCTTTCTTAGCAGCCAGGTAAAATAAAAATAACAACCACCACCTTTCTGAGGATCAATAACAATATCCTATCAATAGCATGGTGAGATTTTCTTCCCCATAGATCTCATAGGTACACAAAAATGGGAACGCTCTAAAATGATTTTTCACCTATAACCAGAACCCGACACTCTCATTAATCAGGTGACAGAGAAGAATCCAAGAAGCGAGCCATTCAGCTGCTGAGCATTCTTAAAGATGCCAAACGTCTCAGGGAGAAGAAGTTCTACAACCGAGAAGAGGTTCTGAGCAAAGGCAAAGGGTATGTTCATTCCTATAATGATGATTATGATTTTTTTTTGTAGCCAGGGAAGCCTCATCAGCATCAATGCTGTTTTACCTATGGACCCTGCAATTATTATTACCCCATCTTATTGCCAGGTACCCAGTAACACCTGTGTGGAGATTGGCAAATGTGGATTTACATCTTGCCGAAGGATGGTAGTGCTGAGCTCGGATTTGAATCCTTAACCTTTGGTTTGAGAGTCGAGTGACTAAACCACTATACCATGAAACATCCACAATGATGGTTTGCATGTAAATTCCTCCTTGTTAAAGAATTCTTAAAGAAAACTGTGATGGCTCAGTAGTAGTGCAGTAATCTTGTAACCAGGATGTCCAGGGTTTAAAACCAAGTGGATGTGCTAGTGCCCTTTGGTATAGCATTAATCCTCGTTACCAAGTCCCTCTGTCCCCTGGTTGGTTACTTACAAGTATGCAATGCTTTCTTAGCAGTCGGGTAAAACAAACTAACAATCTTTTCTTTTTTCTCATTTGCTTTGTTTGGATTTACATACTACTACCAAGAGAAAACATTCCAATTCCTTTCTTACATTAAATTTCCAAATCATTTTTTTTTTTAAATCATTGACTTTTTAAAAAATCAGGCAAAGGAAGGTTGGTCTAGGTAACGGTCATCGCAAAGCCAAGGAGTACGAGGACTTTGTGCTCGCAAACAGGAAGATCCTTCGTGGTGACTTACGGATGTGCGAGCGTGCAACGCAGCGTATCCTTCTCTACTCCAACAACTTCCTGCACAAGCGCTTGAAAACGGACCCCCAGAATCGCACCCAGAGGCTGCAGCGAACCAAGGGGCAGGCTGCACTGGGCAAACTTGTGGACGTGGAGAAGCTATCTGAGCAAACGTGCTGCTTGGAGAAGTGTGTGCTGGTAGGTGATCTAATTTCTTTAAAAAAGTAAATCATAGACATATATCTTTAAAGCCCCACTGCACTACTTATAGCTACTTGCGCCCTCTATATAGCAAACAATGCCTGATCGGTGCCGGTTGGTCCCCCATGATCCTCTTTTTTTTAATGTTAATTGAGAGTTGATTTGATGAGATAACCATCTGTCAGTGACCTTGCAGGGAGGTCTAATCGCCCCTGGCCAAACTAGTGCAGACGGGTTTTAAAAAGTAAATCATAGACTTGCATCTTTAAAGCTCAAAGAATCATAGTGTGGACATACAAACAAACATATATTTTGATTTGTATCCTTGTGGATAGAAGCAGAAGTAAAATATGTGTTTTTCAACTGCAGTCAAATGTGTCTTACTTAGTAGTGGCCACCTTTCTATAAAGGCCACCTCTCTATAGTGGTCACACATATTGCCTCCCTCTAAAAGGAAATGTGTGTTGTAGAACCTGTCTTGAAAGGCCACCTGTCTACAGTGGCCACTTTCTCTGGTTCCCTCTGGTGGCCTTATAGACAGGATAGAGGCCTTCCTACAAAGGACATTAGTGGCATGACATGGCTAGGATCCACAGCCTACACAGCCCCTGTTTGTACCATGTTCAGTTTAGATACTGTGATGTTGGTGCCCTTTTGGTGAACCCACGATCTTTGAATACTCAGTTAATTGGCAAATTGGATAGAGGCCTTCGTAAAAGGACATAAGTGGCATGACATGGCTAGGATCCGCAACCTACACAGCCCCTGTTTGTACCATGTTCAGTTTTAGATACTGTGATGTTGGTGCCCTTTTGGTGAACCCATGATCTTTGAATACTCAGTTAATTGGCAAATGCTTGTCAAGTTAAGATACTTGGGAGGTGTTTCACAAAGACTAAGATCAACTTTAAGTTGGACTCAAATATGGCAAGCTGTTCATGCCACTGCTCTCACCATCATGATCTTTAGATGATATTTTTTTCTTCAATAATGAATTATCAACAAATGTAGATTTGTGACCATGATTTGTACGTCATTTGAGAGACCAATAATTATAAATGGTGAGAGCAAACAGTGGCATGAACGGCCTGCCATAGTTAAGTCCAACTTCAAGTTGATCTTAGTCTTTGTGAAACACCCCCATGGTGTATTAAAGTCAAACATGTCATGAAATCATAAGAGGAATATGATTTGATCTCCAGCCATTATATAACACTGCCGTTGTAACCATTGTTGTTGAATTCAATCATTCTCCCTAGTTGGCACGTACACACAGTCTGCTTCTGAATCAGTGGAGGGACAGAGCAATCTCTGGGCAGACGGAGGCTAGGAAAGTTCTTGCTGAGATGCTTACACCTTCAGGTATGGCAGTAGGTCTAATGTCTCGGTCACACCTTTGCGTATTTGGCTTGCGTATTGCTGCGTATTTATGGCAAGCCATTTTAACATTTATTCTATTTCTTGATATCAAGAATTACCATCACTTTACACCAGAAAATTATTTCTTGATATCAAGAAATAAAAATAAATGTTAAAACGGCTTTCCATAAATATGCAGCAATACGCAAGCCAAATACGCAAAGGTGTGACTGAGGCATTAGATGTATATCTGTACATGAGCAGAAACAGATCATTTTGTACCAAATTCTTGCATCTTTTTCCCAAACAGACTCTGGAATTTACAGATTGTTGATGTATCCATTGTTTTCAAGATTGCTTGAGAAACTTGTTAAAATTTATCACTTGTAGAATGATTTAGAAATTGTGTTTCCTGTATAAAAATGCATTTGATGATCAATGGGGAATTTTCTCTCATGACTACACATTAAGATGCACTTCAAAAGATTTTGGAATTTAGCACCCCAGCTTTAGCTCCAGCTACGTAAGTGCTCATGTTCTATTTTTTTCTTCATAACATACATGTACTTTAACAAGTTGGCGAAGTCATCTACAGGTGTGTGTGTAAAAGTCTGGTGTCAGCGAATTGTGGCCTTGTGCGCATGAAAACTGATGACCCACTTCATTTAAACTCTATACTGTAGGTCAGGGATCCAACTGCGCCCGTTTCATCGCCATGGTAACAGGCAGCAGCATCACCACCATCGCCAGGGTCAAGGACCAGATGTGCAAGACGGGCGGGGACCGGGAGCCGCCCCAGCACGGCCTCAAAAAGTACTGGAAGAACCACCCCAGGAGCAAGACCTTGGGTCTGCTTGGGGAGGATGGTGAGGTGCTCCAGGGCTCCAGGGCGGGGTCAGCAGAAGCTGGAGCCGGGCAGGCCGGAGCGCAAGGATCTCTCATGACCGTGGTAAGGTATCTCTCAAGAGCAGAAAAGGAAAATGACAGAGAATCTGTTAGTTGTACGTAAAGTCATTCCATTTAAGGTCTCTCTCATGACTGAGGATTTGTATCTTGTAGAAAAAGACAGTGAATTATATAAAGAATCTGTTTTTTTGTACAAAATATATATGTCTCCCTTGTTAGTCCTTTCAGGAGTAGTTAGGATTAGTTCAAGGTAGTGACTCTGAATATTGCGCTGTGGTAAACCCTATGGTCACTATTTATCATAATACTCACGAAACCGTAAAATTAGAGTTAGAAATTGAAAGTATATCGCAATGGATAACATTTAATAATTATATTGGTGAGTTAAAAGATGAATGTGTATTTAGTTAAACATACGCAAGTATCTGTTGTGATAATGACTATTATATGCTGAATGACTACTTAAGATTGTGTCTGAAAGATTTTCAATCTATTTATTTCATTATGACTTTGTAGTATTTAATCCTTCAATACATTGCGATGATTATACCTCAATTTGCAGGCACAACTGATAGAGCAACAGGATCAGTTGAAAAGGTTGCAGCAACAACTGGAGGAACAGCAGCAACAAGTCAGACAACAGCAGAGACTTGTAGAGCAACAATTAATACAACATCAGCTGAGGCAAAATAGGCAACTGAAACAACAGGTTGGTTGCAATGACATAAAGCCCCACTGTACTACTTGTAGCTACTTGCTCCCTCTATATAGAAAACTTCCCCAATCCATGCCTGTTGGTCCCCCATGATCCTCTTTTTCTTATGTTAATTGAGAGCTGAGTTGATGAGAAAGCCACCTGTCAGTGTCCACGCTGTGTGGTCTAATCCCTTTTGGCCAAACTAGTCCAGACAGCCTTTAAACAAAAATCACATACTTTATTTATTGAAAATATAAAGAGAAAGCATTTTAAAAGGAAGATTTGAAATTTATGATGCAGAAGCAGTGAAGCATGTAAATTAAGATTGATGAAGATAACTTTTTTAAGTTGCTTTCACAGAAATGTATAGTATAGGATTCACAACACCATAATCGTGTCGTGAAATCTCGAACATATATGGTTCATGAAGTCTGTATTGAAGGGAATTTTATGATTTATGACCATATGTACCTGAAGGCTGTTTCGCTTGTTCGTTTGTTTGTGTTTGGTTGATTTTCTTGAAAAGTGAGTAACAATAATAATAATAGGCATTTCTATAGCGCCGTCTATCTAGAAATTCTATTCCAAGGCGCATTTATTGTTACTCCGGCTTAAGCCTAGCTGCCATTACAGCGCTCTAGCATTTTAAGGAATTAATTCCTACCAGGTACCCATTTACCTCACCTGGGTCAAGTGTGGCAAATGAAGATTAATGCCTTGTTTTTGTCTCCCTAGGCTGCCTTGGCTGAAGCGCAGAGGAAGGTCACACGTCAGATACGAGCTGGAAACTTGCCTGGTAGCTCAAAGTCAAGTACAAGCAATACTGCTACCGCCCATCCTACAGCACAGGTGAGAAACGACCCTCATATTTTTTGTAACTTTGAATCCTTTTCAGAAATGTTAGTAATTTTTTTAGATTTAAATTATAATTGTATGAGAAATATACACGATTTTGCACATATGGAGGTTGGGACAGAAGAAAAAAATAAGAAGGATCATTTAACTCTATTATCAAATAAACATTTTTTTTTTACTTGTACTTGTATTAAGGAGAACTGTTGCTGAGCTAGCGCTATGAGCGTCCCTCGACGGTGTGCACTCTATAAGTTTACACTATTATTATTTTATTACTATTTAGCATTTTGTATGATTAAATCTACAAGATATTACACATATTGCAATCATTCACAGTATGTAATGGGTTTTAAATCTTTTTGTTTGATTTACAGAACATGTCAACAAACAGAGGGACGAATCCGTCTACTCTAACGATGCAGCCTCTAACAGCCGATCAGCAAGGCCGTATCTATGTACAATCCCCTGTATCTACCAACCAGCCAGCTCAATCTACAGCAACACAGTCTCAGCCATCCAATCAGCATGTGCCTACTATTGTAGGCATGACTATAGAGCAACAACAACAGCAACTCCAACAGCAACATCCCCTGACAGCTACAGTGGCAGGACTAGAGGGCATCGATGCCAAGCTGTTGCAGCAGAACTTGCAGCAGATCCTTGTAGAACTGCAGAATCAGATGGTGACGCAGCAGATTCAGCAGCAGCTGATAAACTTTGGGATGCAGCCGGGCCCGAGTGGTGGTAGCAGTCAACCCCCGAGCTACAGCACGGCAGTTGCAGCAACAAATAACTCCCAGGTGCTGCAGACATCACCACCGCAACAACCACCACCACAACAACCACAGCAACAGCAGAAGACACAGAAAGATGGTTCACAACAGACACAGATCATCATACAGACTATTCCAAGCCTGCAACCCAATTTGTTGCTGAGTAGCAATGGGCACGGTATACCTGGTAGCAGTAATATGCCACATTATGTCAATACCTCAGCAAGCGGTTCCATGGCTCGTCTTAAAGCAGCTGATAGTTCTCATGTCATGGTTCCTATCACTCTCCATCACCCTGGTGGCCCCATCGCAGGAGGAGATGCGGTCAATGTGGAGGAGGTCAATGTTCAACTCCAAGAAGTGGTCATGCCTCTGTCCACCCAGGATAGCGAAGCTTGCAACCTGGTCCTACCACGGCAGCAACAGCTTCCCACCATCCTGCAAGGCACTATCCAGCAACACCTATCGAGTCTTGGCCATCTGGCCAGCCATTCTTCAGATTCGGGTACAACCCGGCCAACCACCACCATCAGCATCGAGAGCCTGTGTGGCAACCAGCAAACATCGCCAGGCAACATGGGGGATATCGTTGTGACAGAGGTGGACGATGGTACCCGGATGATGCAAGGTAGCGGCGAGGAGAGCATCCCATCCGCTATCCCTCTGGTCGGAGGGGTTTCCGTAGAGACGCTCTTGTCTCCGGAGGCTCTCCATCTCTTGAACTCAACAGGGCAGGCATCACTGAATGTCTCTTTATCTTCTGCAAGGACTGTGAAGCCGAACACACCAGGGGCAGGTGCCTTGTGAGATAACTTGTTTGGTAGGATGTGTATCCTCTGTTTTTATGCCTCAGCTACAAAGTAGCCGGAAGCATTAAGTTTTCGGGTTGTCTGTCTGTACGTCCATACGTCCCGTTCTCGTGATCGCATTATCTGAAGAACCCATTGATGGATTCCTGCCAAACTTTGTTCATGTATGTATCTTGCAGAGCCGATGAATTGATTAGGTTCTGGGGTCTCGAGGTCAAAGGTCACAGGGCTCACCATGTATGCAAAAATAACTCTTTAATCATGAATTCATAATTGGGAGAGTCTACCTACAGGTTGATGATAGACTGTCCTTTGGTTATTGACCTTCAATTCTGTCCTTCATGGCCAGGCATTGCTTTTGATTGAATATGAACCTGACAAATTTATTTTGCTGTGTTGAGAGCTTTCGCCCCAATACATCCAATGCAAGTCATTTTGTTTTTCAGTTGCCCAGTCTAGTTTCCTACATTATGTTTTTCTTCTTCAGAGGGACTTTATTATTCCATTACAAAATACATATAGACTATTTACAAAACAAGTAAAATGAAACATACATTATATAATAAATGTATAAACATTACAACTACAGGGTAAAGACTCCAATATTTGCTGATTTTTTAGTGCTAGGGAAACTTCTCAGTTTTATGGACAGTTTTAAGATTATTGATTGTTCAACATATATTGTGAATGATTGAGGCTGCTATCATGTTTTCATGATATATACTGTGTTTATTTATTACCATTAGATTTTTTTAAAATAAGATCAATAATGATATGAAACGATAAGCATCAAAGAGAAGGGATGTTCTAAATTATATAAGATTGTTTGAACTTGTCAGTGATAATATGGCCTTATCACTTGTCATTTTTGTGTGGCAGGCAAGTAAGAATGCTTAATAAAAGTTTATAAGCTGCATTTGTGTGATGACCTCTACTAAGTTTGTTTCAGTTATGATCAGTTTCCATAGAGTGCAATTTGAAGGAATAGCTTAGGAGACAGGGAGAGATAAACAGAAAGGGAGAGGTAGGAAAGAAAAGGAAACTGGATGAGAGAGAGGGGGCAGAGGGAGGGGGAGAGGGAGAGAGAGAGAGGGGGAGAGAGAGGGGGATAGGGAGAGAAGGGGAGGGGGTAGAGAGATAGAGGGAAAGGAAAAGGGGAGGGAATGAGAGAGAGAAGAGAAAGTGAAGGGGAAGGGGAGAGAAGAGAGAGAAAGAGCGATGGGGAGAGAGATACAAGATGATTTATTTTGATTTGCGCTGTACAAGAAATGAATATCATTATTATACAAATGCGAGTAGTATTATTATTATCTAGTTTGCTTCCAGTAGATAACTATTCACTTTCGTTCTTTCAATACCTCCCGGCAAACTCCTATAACATTTTCACTATGATTGCAATTTGGAAAGGCTGAGGATACACCCAATGACAACCATGCCACAACACGTGCAGATACGATCTACAGGAAATTTATGCAGCGCCTTCTCAACTGGAAACAAAGAGCTTCGAGATGCCATCCATGTTTTAGAGGGACAAAGACAATAAAATAAACAAAATACATATTTTATACCCAATCAACCTCATTTATTGTAAAATAGTAAAAACAAAAAAATTGACATTACATTAAGATTTAAAAATCACTTCTACACACCTTCAATCATAAAAAAAATACAACACTTAAACATTTAACTAAACTTATTCTAGATGACATTGTTTCTTGCTTAGTGAGAATTAGGTATATATAGATAGATTTTGAAGATTTACTGTGAAAACGTACAATAGTTTTGAAATTTTCGAGTGACCCATCCAAACATTTGTTTGCTTTTCTCACAAAATATTCACACACACAACATCCCGAGTACTGATCTTTGACATGACAATCTTGCATCTATTGTTACAGTAAGAAATTGCCGATTTGTATGTTTTTTTGGTGAAATTACATAAAGCGATTTATAAGTGAGATTTTTTCAAAGGACTGTATATTTTTTGTTTGGGGGATTAGGCTTATGTTTTTGTAAGTAGAAATTGCAATAGATTTTTATACAGTGTAAACAAATCGGTAAAAAAGATAAAATTCACATAGCTATATATACACAATACAATTCCTGCATACCTTAACAATTTTGCTCTTATTTTATTCTTTTAGATTCATTTATAAAAGATAGTTTGATTCTTTCGGTTCATATAATTTGGTTTTTAAAAAATCTGATAATTCTCTGCATACATTTTGTTTGAAAGACAAATTTTGAAAATATATATATATATTGTTTTAATTGCATCTTTTAAGAACTCTTGCAAACATGAATATATAAGATCAGTTAATTGTTGGTCTTTTCTCGCTTCATTCATTGTGCTTATCATAACATACAATAAACCATCCAGTGAATTGCAGGAATCATTAGCAGAAGAACAAAAACAGATAAATCGATGGAATACATCACCTGGAAGACATCACTAATTACTGCAAAACATCAAAATATACAAGATCATTCATTTTCAGGGGTACAGTGTATGTTAATAGGTTTTCACTTGCTATCTAAAAGACAATGCCACAAAACATCTGCGGTTGCAAGATCAACAAGATGAGCAAAAATAAACAATGAGACAGCTTAAAGGTATTTTAAAATCAAAATGTCTTGAATGTAGTGAAAATTACTTATATAGAACTCAAATAAACACCTTTAGAGTCATCTGACAAACGTGAACATGTGATAAAGCATGTCTATGATATTTATAATATATACAGAAACAAAAGTAAAGTAGCAAATCTCGACAAAGTGAGCTCCGATATTTTGATAAAATAAGTTGACAGCCTCTACAGGACCTACTCTTAATTAGTCTTACTATCTTGTAAGCAGTTACGATGTACTGCACGCAGTAATCCTCCCCTTACGAGAAATCGAAGAAACATTTGAAATTTGACAGATTCCACTACTCGTCCCACAAAATTAAGAATAAGTGATGTGAGAATATCTTGGTGACTTGGCACTTAGCATGCTGTCTGTACCTACTTCAATCTTACTTGCTAAAAAAGGATTAAAAACTTTGTTGGGACAAAATAAAAAAAATAAACATAAGTAACTTCTACAACTTCTATAAATTCATACACACTTTATTGGCACTGTCACTACATTACAGATAACAGAGTTGAAAATGGTTTATATTTAAGGATAAAGAATACGCAGTCTCTGACAAGAGAATTATTGGAAAGAGTTGAAGGGAAAGAGGGTAATAATGTATATAAAAGTGTCAGTCTTAAGAAACATTAATTGGTGCTAAAATAGCGATCCTCTTATGTTTTATCGAATCTTGTATGCAAATGTGCTTATATACATTGCCATCTTAATTCTACGATCAAAATGTAATTAAATGTACAACAATTAAAAAAGTTCATTAAAAATGCATCGCATAAATTATGCTTTAAAAAATGATTTCATGATAAAGGAAAGCATCGGATATGTGTTAGTGTATTATAGAATACATTTTTTAATCGGGCTTGGACTGTGCAAAGAGACCCAAGTTTTGAAATTACCTCAAATATATATATATATATTCAAAGCAAAGATCCTATTGCTTTACACTTCATAATGTGGTATTAAACCCCATGATATCACACAAGCATCCTCGGATACAGCCCTCAATAAAGACTAATACATTTCAGCAATAAGTACGCTTGTTTGACATTAGAGGCATTGAATTAATTGTAAACACAGATACAACTCTTTACTGATGAAATCAACTTCTAAGCCACAAAATGCGAAACTACGGTAGGGCAAAGATTTATATTATTGTATGTGAGGGTACTCCTAAACAGCCGAGGTAACGTTGCTTTGGGACCTTACAAAGGGTGGTCGTAGCCGTTGTTATCGGGAGCTGTGTAGGCCACGGAGGGTTCGGGTCCCGTGCCAAAATTGAGAATTCCTCCGAAACTGGTTCCGTGACTCTGATGGGCTGCAGCGGCCTCGATTCGGTGTTTCTTGAGAGCGGGTCCCCAGGTCTCACGTGGGTTAGACATGGCCCTCCAACGCTGTCAAATAAAAGATATATAAAAGGGTTTAACTAGGTACCATGGGAAGGAAGACAAAATCACCCATACTATAATACAGAGATAATACAGAGAAATTGTATTTCAATATATTATGAATGCACATTGAATGCATTAATAGTTTTTTTGCTAGGTCAGACAAATAGTCTGGCTCATCTGACCATACAACGCATTATACATGTACTTGAATTCTTATTTCAGAATGATTGAAAATACAATAACTCTGGAAAGGTCAATGTGGATACAAAATACTGTCTTGCTTTAAAGATATTATTATTATCATCGTCTAAAGTTATTCCTAAATATTTTAGTGATGCCCAATCCCATAAACTGAGTAAGAGATTTTCGTCAACAAAGTTTCCCTCAGCACAGAAGTACTCAAAGATCATGATAAATTCACTTTTTTGAAAGTCCTTGTAAACAATGTGGACCAATACATAAGCCCCCTGTTAAAATCTGCCACCGATGCCCCTTTTAACAAGGAGGAAGATATAACTGAAAATCATAAAGACTTTTGTTGTTGCTTACCAACAAATTAAAAGACCAGAAACAGTTTTTAAGATACATGTCTTGCCCCCTCAATTGAAAAATGTTTCAGTGACGCCCACACAGTACTGATTTATAGATTTAAGCCAGCAAGGTTTCCTAAAGCACAGAAGTACTCATAGATAACGTTTAATTAATTTTAGGAAGACCTTGTGGACTTCTGAAAACCTTGTCAACACTTGCAAGAACCTTCAAGCCCTTCTGGGAGTGTTTCACAAAGACTAAGATCGACTTTAGGTTGGATTTAAATATGGCAGGCCATTCATGCCACTGGTTGCTCTCACCATTGGTCGTTCAATTATGATCTTTAGATATTTGTTCCTTCAATAATGAACTATCAATAAAGCTGAATTCTGTAGATGTGTGACCGTGATTTGTATGTCCCTTGAGGGACCATTGTCAGCCAATGGTGAGAGCAAACAGTGGTATGAATGGCCCTGCCATAGTTAAGTCCAACTTACAGTCGATCTCAGGCTTTGTGAAACACTCCCCAGGACAGACAAATAAGCCCCTTCCCCCCCCCCCATTGAAGTTTTCTTTTGACGCCCCTGCAATACTTACGTCAGCCAGGTTTCCTTCAGCACGGAGGAACCCAAAGAGCATGTTAAATTAATTTTGGAAGACCATGTGGACTTCTGAAGAACTTCCAAGACCCCTCAAGCCCTTCTAGACAAACAATCAAGGCCCCCCCCCCCACATTAAGTTTTCTTTCGACGCCCCTGTATTACTTACGTCAGCAAGGTTTCCTTCAGCACGGAGGAACTCAAAGATCATAACGAAGGGGATCCAGATGATGGAGGATGTGATCATTAACCATCCGATGATACGACCCCAGGTTGGGTAAGGACCATTGTACTCAGGCTCAGACCAGTTCATCCAGTTGAAGATCAACACAAACTGGAAGAGAACACAAAACAGGAAACGGTATTATACTAAAAACAAAGGGGAATTTTCATTGAAATAAGGCGACAGGTGTTAATCTAAACAAAAACATGTCACTCATAATTTATGGAGAAAAGAAAGCGAGCAAATGTATTTTTAGTAATCATTTCGGAGGACAAACCCATTTTTTTTTTTTTTTTTTTTTTTTTTGGGGGGGGGGGGGGTAAACATTTAGATCAAGAAAAGTCTTACTGACTAAGAGAAAGATATGTATACAGAATATTATTAATCTAAGGAAAAAGCTTTACATGGTAAATTTTCAGAAAGAAAACAGTAAACGCTAAAAGAGACTTCGGTGGAAAGCGCTCAAAAAGTACCGTTTTTATTATTAATTTTACCCGTCATAATGTTCATTCACACAAAAAATGTGCACTCCACTCGCTACAATGTTGTCAACGTGAAAGCACCATGGAGGCGGCAATTAAGGTAATGGTTTTTGTCATCGTACCAGTTCCCGCCCTTTTTATATCCCGGCTAAGGAGTGACGAAAATAGATTTATGACCTGCACGCGAGGACTTAATACCGTCCACGGTTCGAACCCACGACCCTCAAATCCCAATTCCGGGTATCAAACCTCTAGATGATGATGAACTTACCAGCAACAGTCCAGGGGTAACAGCGCTCCACATAAGAGGCCACCAGTAGAACATGAAAAAGTCGACGGTGCCGTTGCCGATCATAGTACGGATGTCATTGGTGAAACGCCTGGTTCCATAGAACCAGGAGAGGCCAATGGTCTCGCAAAGGCCGAACATAATGAGGGAGAAACCAGCTCCATAAGAGTCCATCAAACTGACCCAGTATGGTCCAGCCTAATGATAAGTGAAGGGAGTAAATGAGAATAAGTATTATGCATCAATAATCACTCAGTAAGACGGGTAGAGTTTTCTCTTCATCAAAGGAAACCTAACCCCAAGAAAAGAACTAGTTATTCTGAGAGGTTTGTTGTATTCTAAACGTAAATTGTAAACGTTCACCCAAGGAGAGCACCAACTTGTTAAAGCAATGTGCGTTATATTATTATACTTCAAAATATAATATATTTGATCAACACACACACGTGGGAAAATCCATAAATTTGAATAAGTTTACTTGATACAGGACTTCGCTTAGTACACCTTACGATATCAAGAAAATGGCAATGCACATGTCGTGCTGAGAAACTGTACATTATGTAATACATCTCTCTTGTATTTTGATAAGGAATCTTGTAGATCTGAGTGCCCTTCCATTTCAAGCCGTTGCGACGGCACAATCGGATAATGTCAAGAATAAAACCAAAATGAATTAAATGTAATTAATAAGACTTAAATTTGTGAACTGATTTATTCTGAAAATGATGGCCGTATTCTACTAATTATGCTTTTGTTGACCGGGTAAAAAAAATTCCTTTGTTAAAAGCATTCTTACAAAATATACAGGGCCTGGTTTATCTGCATTAATAGAATATAGACCGAATGATTTTTTCTAAGGTCTAGTTACCTCTGTGATGCACGTGATACCGAGAAGGTACATGATGCAGCAGCCGACCAACATGACGAAGGTCTTCTTCTTGCGGAGGGTGTCGGGGAACTCGTCGACGAGGGCTGTGACCACCGTCTCCATGATGGTGAACTGGGAGTCGAGACCGAGGGTGAGCAACATGAAGAAGAAGAGGATGGCCCAGAGCGGTGATACGGGCATGAGGGAGACGGCCTCGGGGTAAGCGATGAAAGCAAGACCAAATCCTGAGGAGAGTCAAATAAGGAGAACACATTAAGATATGGAAATCTAAAATGCAGGGGCGGGCCGGCCTAGGATTCCATAAGGTGTATACCATTCCTAGGAACCTCGACAAAGTGAGCTCCGATATTTTGACAAAATAAGTTGACAGCTTCTACAGTACAGGACCTACTCTTAGTCTTACTATCTTGCAAGTAGTAACGATGTACTGCGTGCAATAACCCCCCTTTTTCCACATTTTTCAGATGGTTTTGGGGATGTACAATTTAAAATAGGGGCATGAGAGCACAACTAAAAATACATACCCAGCAGTGGACTAGTGACGCACAGGCGAACACAGTTTCCAAGCTAGGAATCATTACGACTCGACTACGTCGACGCAAGAACTAGAGTAGGCGCAAATAGTCAAATTTGACTCAACGCCAAAAATACAACAACCAACGATAACAACTTGGGAAAAGAGCCTATTTTTTGTAGACCAGATTGGATTTGAAATAAGGACACAGACCGGTTGTGCGACCCTCTATCCCCCTTTAATCCGCATGCATTTCTATACTTAAAATGATTCAATGCTTCTACAAATTAATCTGGCCTACAGAATACTTAATCGTTTCGGAACTAACCAAACTAATGGTAGTATTATCGATTTGTTATAAAACAATACATGAATGTCTTTATGTAGGCAAAAAATTAAAAAAAAACTGCTCCTCTTAAAGGCCCATTGTACTACTTGTAGCTACTTCCTCCCTCTATATAGAAAACAATGCCTAATCGGTGACCATTGGTCCCCCATGATCCTCTTTTTCTTATGTTAATTGAGAGCTGAGTTGATGAGTGTCCAGTGATCTTGTAGGGTGGTCTAATCCCTCCTATACACTAGTACAGATGGCCTTTAAGTCCCATATATTGGAGGGATTTGTTTATGATAAATGCCTCACAGAGCATTTAGTTTTGGAGGCAGGGTACTCTGTTTCTAAGGTCAGTGGATACACGAAATAGTCAATTCTTGAGCAGAGTTGTGCTACCCTTGTCACAATGGAGTGACTTTTACGCGGTAGTTGAGGTCCAAGATGGGTAGGCATAATGGACATAGTAATATTTTGAAAAACGGGGTCTTTGTTCCTTCCTCGAGTTCCTCTACCATTAAAAAGTGCCGAGAAGCAATTATCAAAATCAGATTCAATAATGCTAAAGTGTATAAAGATGAGCCCCGCCTTAAAAAGAGCTGCGAAGGGTGCAATGAATTGGCCAAGTTCTCAAATCAATTTCAAAGTTATATTTGACTGTATCTGAGAATTTTAATTTCAATATTTATGGTGTGATGATCAGATTTTGGATTTTCCTCCCATCTTTTAAAGCCCCTCTGCACTAGTTTGGCCATGAGGGATTAAACCTCCCTGCACTGGTCACTGACAGGTGGTTATCTGACTTATCTCATCAAATCAGTTCTCAATTAACATAAGAAAAAGAGGACCATGGGGGACCAATGGTCACCGATTAGGCATTAATTGCTATATAGAGGGCGCAAGTAGCTATAAGTAGTACAGAGGGGCTTTAATGTGGCGAGTAAAAACAATGGTTTTATGATGACCATATAGCGAGCTTTCAATTTGAATGGCACCTATTCCTTAAAGTTGCAAAGCACTTCACAATATGTTGAACAAGAATCTGGGATACTAAAAGATCACTTATGAAAGTTCAGTAGAGCCACTAAATGAACATGCAAATCCATATTTCCTACCGAAATTCATCTCAGGATCTCAGGGCATGGTTTCACAAAACGGTCATAAATACAAGTTACCCGACATCCCATTGAAACATGTATACGGTTTTATGCACTCATTTATGGGTTGTTGGCGAACGTGTACTTCTGACGGTCTCGTGAAACATGCCCCGGGGTTATTAATTACCTGAGTCGATGACGTCAGCGACTTCTTTGCCCTGAGCTTGGGCCATAAAACCCACGATAGAGAAGATCACAAAACCAGCGAAGACACTAGTCAAGCAGTTCAGGGTTGCTACAAGCACAGCATCACTGAAAGATAGATACATACAAACACATTTCATTTAATGATGATGATTTTAATGATGATAATGTTGATTACGGTCCAGGGAAGCCTCATCAGCTTCAATAATGTTCTCTATGTGAATTTTTTTTTTGTCATCAGAGGTTCTGGGGTGAAATCTTTAAAGTTGGAAAAAGTATTAAGCTCGATGTGAATTCATGTATCGTCCAAAGAGAAATACATCATTTTTAAGGGGAACGGAGAAAGGTTTTGAGGGGTTCGTAGAATACATGTTCCGGTGACGATTACTCCGTAGACAATTTTGTACACTAGCCGGATTCTACTTCTACTTCAACCCTCCATCAAGCAATAACCTAACTATTATCCTAAACTAAGACCAAACGGTAACTCTAAACCTGACATTATGGCCCGAATTCACAAAGGAGGTTTGTCGACAAACATAGGTGTATGTGCGTCACATGACGCGTTTTGACGCGTTTCAGACCAAGGTTTGTCTGAACCTTGGTCTGAAACGCATCGAAACGCGTCATAATATGACGGAACAAATGTTGGGGTACCTTTGAGGGGGTACTTACAAGTAGCAGTTGTTGTGGAACTTGTTGTAGGATGAGAGGGTGATGAGACCTCCCCAGGCGGCACTGAGGGAGAAGAAGATCTGCACAGCGGCATCAAGCCATACCTACAGGAACAAATGCCAATAGACAAAGCATTATTAGATAATGATCACAATTATGGCTCGTATTCTTCTAAGCAGACCTAAACTTCAGTTTAATGTATGCAGTGTTCTTATCTGACGAGTTTGTTCATTTAGGACATACTCGTAAGCTACTCATGATGAACTTTAATTCCACAAGCCTTATTATATTTATGTCATATTTGTAATGTGTGTTATGAAAGAAAGATAAATAAAACTTGAACTTGAACTTGCTTCTTTTCAAATGTGGGTTTAACAAAGGAAGTACATATAAGTCCGTCGTCTAAGCTTTACTTTCTTAAACGTGATCTTACGCCCAGGGCGTGTTGCAACTGAATAAGTATAATGTGAACCCATGTGTCAATATATATAGCGTCTTCTGGCAAAGGAGGGTGTGATCGAATGCCATTTTGTGTGAGCAACGTGAGCTGAGTCACGAATTTAATATGGTTTGATGATTTTTTTTTTGATTTTTTTTTTTACCCGACTACAGAGAAAGCATGTGTATGTTTGTAAGTAAGCGACCAGGGGACCCACGGTTTTAGGTACTCCCCAAGAGACTTGGGAACGAGTATTAATGCCTTACATAAGGGCACAAGCAGGATGACTTGTTTCGAACCCGGAACCTTCCGGGTTAGAGACCACTGCTGTACCACTAAGCTTCTGATTTGATTTATATTCTAATTTCGTAGAAGTCAAGATGCATTTCTTAAACACGCGACCTGGCTTGCCGACAGGAAGACGAATTAAGTACAAAATAATGTAGACCGTGATCTGTGTCTTCTATGAACTTTTAAAATATTACCGTAATGCCATTCGTATGCTTATGAGTTATAATCAGCATAGGAAACAAAGATTAATTGATACTATTTTTAAGATAAAGGGGGATGGGGCATACCTGAGGGTTGCTGAGTGTAGTAAAGTCAGGAACGATGAAGAACAAAATACCATCATAGGACCCCGGTAAAGTAACTCCACGAACCAACAGGATGACCAGGACAACGTAAGGGAAGGTAGCTGTGAAGTACACCACCTGAAAAAAAAGGAGCGAATAAACTTCTGTTGATAATTCGTTAATGGAATACATCATCATCGTCGTCTTATCATCAAGCATCGTTTCGGTCCGTTTTTCCTACGCTGTAAACTTGGACGTTTCGTTTCTCTATTGTCTCTTCTCCAAGCCTGATCAACTCTTTAGGATCTCTCTCTCTCTAAAAAAAAAAGGGAATTTTCACTCTATTTTCACTATCTTGGGAGTGACGTCAGGGATCACTTGTTAGGAGTGAATATCGATTGATTTTCGAGTGCTCTCTAAGAAGGAAAGAGTGAATGTTCACTCTATTTTTACTACATGTTCACTCTCCAGAGGAGGTGGTTCGAACATTGATCATACCTTTCCAGATGACTTAATTCCCTTGACGAGGCAGAAATAGACGATGATCCAGGCGAGGAGGAGACAGAGAGCAAGCTGCCAGCTCACTGTTCCAGTGTCATTCATGGACTGAGATTGACGAAGCACATTCTCCCTAAAAGTCACATCAAAAGAAGAGAAATCCTTATTATTGTGTACAATGAACAAACAATAAACGTGGGTAAGGGTAACAATAAACGTGGGTAGGGGTACAGTTATCTAAACCCTCGGTCACAAATGCCATTACGAACTGCTACGAACGCAGTACGAACGATTTTCAGACCATGGAAATTCCGGAAGACCATGGAAAAACTGGGAGATTCGTACGAACCAGAACACATCGTTCGTACGAACCTTTGTGACCGTAGCTTAAATTCTTAATTTTCATCTTGGAAACTAAAAATTTATTGCAGAGTGTAGTAGAAAGAGTGCCTGGATCAGGTTATCTAGCAGATGTAAATTAAATCCTGATTACGTTGATTGGTGTTTCTTTTACACTAGTTGAGCAGTAAGTGTTCCGACACATGCAGTCCACCATAGGTTTGGACCAATGAGTGGTTACAAGGTGATCCCCCCCCCCCCCTTGCAAAGTAAGGTAACTTGCCTGTCTGGGATCATGCATGATCCAAGTACAATACATACATGCAAATTGGTTATTTAGGACATGGCCCTGTCTTACAAAGAGTTATGATTGATCTAAATCAATCGCAAATCCTCCAATCAATTGCAAGTTTGCAGTCTCCTATCACGTATGCATATAGTTGCGATTAATTGCGTCGCAAATAAGTTACGATTGATATCAACTCTTTGTAAGACGGGTTCCTGGAAATACAGAAAAGATTACTGATTAATCGAGATAACAAACCATTATTTTGAAGGGGGTATTTGAAACGAGAAGCCCTTTGCAAAGGTCGACGCTACCTCCGAATGTTACATTTGATTACAACTATATATTTGATTAATGCCCAATTATTTGTCTCTCCTCCAACCAATTAACTAATGATTGTCGGCCCGATGCATACATGATACGTCATTCCGATTGCGTCATTACATACATTTAACAAGCCTGTGAAAGCAGTACTTAGTACATATTCCGTTGTTTCAAAACATTGGTTGCACTGTTCATTGTCCTTTCACTCTGACCACGCAGTGAGGTGAAAAGCGGCGTCAGTCTTTGACGTAGTCTTACGTCAGACGAATGACGCAGTGTTACGTCAGGCGAATGACGCAGTATTACATCAAGCTATTGACGCAATCTTACGTCAGGCGAATGACGCCTCCTGTGCAACGGCCGGGCATCACAGATTGTGCTACTTACTCCCAATACTCTTCACTGGGTCGGGTTCGATCTGCCAAGAGAGGATCGGTGTATCCAGAGATATCATACATGGGACCAGATCCTGAGATACCGTAATCCGTTTTCTCACTAGAAGACAGATCGCTGATATTGGCGCATGAGCCGTTGCTGATGATGATCTGAAGGTAAAGGTGAGAAGAGAAATATATTTACATGTTTTTAATCATTTTATGTTTCCATGGAACTTCATGGTAGAAAAATGTTAAAATACCGTATCTCCAAGACGACCCAGCCTAACTCTATATACCCCAACACAAATTTGACCTCCTGAAACAAAAAAAATATACTGCACAGTCACTCCAAGTTTCCCAAGATTGACCCAGACAATCACTCTTCAGCAAAATTAGAAATTAAAGTTAATACTAACCCCTCTGGGAGAGGGTTGGGTGAGTATTTTACAGGTAATTATTCTCTGGGACAGCTGTAGGTATGTTACGGAAAGGTAAATTTTTGGTCAATTTGGAGCAAAGCTAAATATTTCATAAATTTGATGAATGGTTGACTTGACTTGTTAAACTTTTACAACTGTCAAGAAAATACCTCATAACTTATCAGTTTATACAGTGCGTATTGAAAGAAAGTGTACCCAGCTTTGGTAGCTTCTAATTAAAATATTATAACCTATGTGACCTTGAATTATATATCATGGTAAATGGTATCTAATAGCCTGTCTAATAATATCGTATCCATCATTGTGCTGCCATGGATGACTGAGCAGCATGCTTTTCAAAAGTATTGACAAAATCCTCTTGTATACCAAGTTTGGGCTTGAGCAATGAATGTGGGTTACACGCCATTATATTTGTGGTATCTCATTCCAAAAATGATTGTTCACGTTTAATATTAGGCAGTCGAAAAGAAAAGGTGTTAATATCACTCAAACTCGAGGAAATTTTTATCGCAAGCAATTTTTCCTTTTCTTTCTCTCTCTGTTATGATTACAATCTTGACTTTATTCGAATCCCTTGTTTAGGGTAACCCTTCATTTTGAGTGATACAAAATGGATTAAGTGTATTTGGGATGTTATGTTTTTATAATGAAAGTCTACTGTCACTTTAAAAAATACCCATATGTGTTCTTTCTTGCATTTACGAGATAAACTCGCTATTCGAGATAATTAAATTATGCTCAATACACGAGTTAACTGGTGCAGTGGACAATGAGCGGAGAGATATCATGAGTCAAGAAGAACGGAGGCTTTTCGAAATAATTAAAAGTTATCCTTCTGATTGAAACACGGTTCTGTGAAACCCTAGATACATTGCATCATTTTAAACAATAAAGCATTGAAGCACGAAGCGAAAATTAACTTTTAAAAGGATTTTAGACCACAGAAGCACATGCCTTGGATGCATATGGCCTGACCCACATTCGTTAATCAGCCCAAACTTGGTACAAAGCTATTTCGACAACACTTTTCAAGGACCCTGGTGCTCGGTCACCTGTGAGAAAAATATTGAATATGATATCATTGGACAGGAAATAAGTTACTCTTCATTATGAAATAGATTTTAAAGTCATACTCATTATGAATTCTTAATTAGGAGCTACCAAAATGGGTACACTTTCATCAATATGCCCTTTTTGAAAATTAATCCTATGAAATTTCATTTCGTAACGCATAGAATTGACCATAACTAACCATGTCAGATAATGTAGTATTTTCTCCGACACAGGCCTCGTAAAGGCTACTACAGTAGATCGTATTCCACGACCTGTCACAGTGGGTCCAAGGGAGATCGCTCGTGAAGGAGGCGAACAAGTAGTAGATAGTGTACATGATGATAACATTGTAGTAGATACCCACGTAGGCGGAGGCGATCACCATGCCATATCCAACACCTGTAGTAAAGACCAAAGCGAGGAAGAGAGAGAGAGAGAGAGGGAGATATATATATATATATATATATATATAGAGAGAGAGAGAGAGAGAGAGAGAGAGAGAGAGAGAGAGGGAGAGTGAGAGAAAGAGAGAGAGAAAGAGAGAGAGAGAGAGAGAGAGGTTATAATTAGAAAAAGTTGAGCATTACCAATTTTGTTTTAGAAAAGGCAAGCTATTTTGCACTAATATCCACGATTCTTTTACATCTGAAGTTGATAATAGAATTCAATTCTCACAAGCAAAAATGTTATGTAAAATATGTCTTTCTCATTAATAGCGCCGAATACAAAAACGTTGCATTATCCCATTATGTCATCACAATACTTTGGAATGTATCATTATTGAATAAGTGGGCGTGACAGGGCGAAGATATTATTCCATGTTCTGAACTTTGCCTATTCACAGGTACAATATTTGTGCATAACCTGCACGGGTACAAAGATTTGGTTGGTCGATTTTGAAAGAAATGTACTCTGGTTCTGAACTATTCATCAGATGGTGGTTTACCAGATTAGTTTTTATTCAATTTCTGTATAAGTCGTTGCAGCTGACCGCTTCGCAACGAAATTGATTGTCAAGATAGCCATGAAAGCATTATAAAAACGCAGCTTTGTGAGAAAACCGTGTGAAATTGTTTTCTGTGCAGCGTATACGTAGATACAGGTTAAAATGGATGCAAAGATTGGAGGTAAAATTATTGGGAGGTGCATGTATGTGTTATAAATACTTTCCTTGTAACAAACTTCTGGATAGGTTCAGTGTCTCGATTTTGTATGGAAAATTATATTCATAACTCGTCAGAGAGTTATCGCCACTAAAGTTCACACTAGTCATGTACGATACATGTAGAGACGCGTTAGAACTGTATGGTTTAGCCAGTATATATCTCTCTTTCTCTATCTTTTCTTTCCCTTCATCGTTCTGTCCTTCCTTCCTTCCTCTCTCGCTCTTTTTCTCAAAATTTACCATCTCTCTCTCTCTCTCTCTCTCTCCGATTTCCCCTCTTTCTTTTGTCTCTCTTATCTCTCTTTTACTCTCTCTCTCTCTCTCTCGCTCTTTTTCTCAAAATTTACCATCTCTCTCTCTCTCTCACTCTCCGACTTCTTCTCTTTCTTCTGTCTCTCTTATCTCTCTTTTACTCTCTCTCTCTCTTTCTTTCCCATCCTCATTCTTTCCTTTTTTTCTCTCTCGCTTTTTTTCTCAAAATTTACCATCTCTCCCTCTCTCTCTCACTCTCCGACTTCTTCTCTTTCTTCTGTCTCTCATATCTCTCTTTTACACACACACACACACTCTCTCTCTCTCTCTCTCTCTCTCTCTCTCTCTCTTTCTTTCCCATCCTCATTCTTTCCTTCTTTTCTCTCTCGCTTTTTTCTCAAAATTTACCATCTCTCTCTCTCTCTCTCCGGCTTTCTCTCTTTCTTCTGTCTCTCTTAGCTCTCTTTTACACACACTCTCTCTCTCTCTCTCTCTCTCTCTCTCTTTCTTTCCCATCCTCATTCTTTCCCTTTTTTCTCTCTCGCTTTTTTCTCTCAAAATTTACCATCTCTCTCTCTCTCTCTCTCTCTCCGGCTTTCTCTCTTTCTTCTGACTCTCTTAGCTCTCTTAGCTCTCTTTTACTCTTTTTCCGTCATGTCTCCCTTCCTTTTCAAGTCACAGTCTACCAATCACCCGAAAAAAATAAGTTTACAATACCGTTCCGGTGCATTTTTCACAAAAACATCAAACCTTTGACAAAAGATTACTGGCGTGGAATGTGTATGTAAAAAAAAAATGGATGCATAATCCTGTATTAAACTGGCGATGTACACAAGCAATGTACAAGCTCCAATCACCGATTAGTAACTGGCAGAATGCTATAAAAGCCAAATGTTTTTATATGATGAAGTGAGTATTTCTCAACAAAGTTTTTTGTTAGAGACAAATAAATTAGAACGAGTTAGGTTGAACGCCAATGTGGAGTGAATGGTTCGAACCAATGATCATTTCATGACTTATACTGGTAATTATTTTGTACTTTGTTTTACTTGGGGAATAGAAGCCTTGTCGTAATTGTTCTCATACAAGCTGGGAAACGGCGCTCGTAGCAAAGAGAATGTATATATATGCAGTTGTCTTATCTGACAGAAGATGTTGAGAGGAGTAGATGAATGTTTACGAAATGCGCTTAACTTTGTGCCAATTCTATTCCCATTGCCCCCGTTCCTAAAAGTGGGCCGTTCCTCTGCAAATAAATACTTATTATATTTTCATCCATAGAATTGACGTTCCTTTGACTGACTATGTTTGTTTTGTTGCAAACAAATATGAAATCAAGTGAATATGATATCAAGTGAATATGAAATCAAGTGAATAAGCCTCTTCATGCGTAGGAGGCAATCGGTTAATATCGGGATGGCTATAACGAAAAAAACGGTCCCACGATTCTACAAAAAAAGAAACTGTGGATTATTTTTTTAATGAAGGATATGCCCTACTACACTATATTTGTTCTGCGGTATAATCGGTATGTGGTGTTTTTAAACATCTTAAATAGACATCCTGCAAGGATTTATCACAAGTGACTGTTGCTTACTGCCTTAAATGCGAAACTGCCTAAAAATGGAAAACTTCCTAGTTTCTTTTTCTGAGCACAAGTAGTGCGTTTTGTAACACACCTGCAGAAAATTGGAAAATTACCCATAAGTGACATCTTGATTAATAATACGACCCGACATTTTCTTTTTCATTGGTCAACCTCTTCCGAAAACATTTTGGATGGGTATGTCTTAAAAAGCCTAAAACACGAGCAGTGAGTTTAATTACAAGTAGAGTTGAAGCTAATTGGTAATTGGGATCGGGGCTTAAATTTCATGGTGTAGAAACAGACGGATAGATTTATCTGATTCAACAGTATAAAAGAACATTAAAATAGGTTACATGGACTATTGCACCAATACGTTTAAATATGTTTAGTAGAGCACTATACAATCCACTCTACATGTACATTAAAAAAACTAGCCAAGAGCTATTGATGTAATGAATTTTCAAATAGTTTGCTAAACTTTTTTTTACTACGCTCGTTATTAAGTCTGTTATATACTACAAAACTGTGGCACGATAAGAGTTAAACAGGCCATGTTTTGTTTGTTGTATAAGATTAACTTGATCTATATTTGTTAAAGTATCATGGTAAGTCATGAATACCAAATGCGAGAAGAAAGGACGCCTACTATATTAGGTTATTCAAATTTCTGCTATTCTTCCGTAAAAAATATAGGGTCTACTATTACGACCTCTGGTTGTAAATTCTTGGATCGATTTGGACTTTGGAACATCATAATCCATGTACAAGAACATAAAATGAATATGAAACCAACGTAAAGCGAATGTAGTTAAAAGTTGTCTTCTGTACGTTCATTAAGACACTGGAAAAACACTGTACATACAGAATAATATTTCATTGATGACGTGAGATAACACATAGTGTGTTGAAATCTAGTTGAATATGAAAATAGAGGTGAATCAAAGTGCTTGCAATCCCTGTTAGTGTTATTATAAGATATTTGCCATAGATGAAGATAAGGTCATATCTAAATTACGAAATGATAACTTTCTTGTATGTTAGCATCACCAAAATCCACAGGGATGTGGATATATTATTTAGTACTGTTCCAACAAGTTGGTATAATTCAGTTTATAAAATGTCTTGTTTATAATGATGTGCGAAGTTGATCAATATCGCATTATAGTTATACCAACATCGTATGATTGGGGAGGATAGGAACCTAGTTGAAAGTGTTTTTAACAAAAAAAAACCTTTTCAGCATGAATAATGCAGATCGTGCTCTCCTTTAAACCAATGTGAAAATATGAAAAGACTCCGTCATTCATCGAAATTAATGTTAACAATACGTATTTTCAACTCTGTTCCTAAATGATGAGGATCTAGGAGTCAGTTCGATAGTTTATAATGTTCAATCAGGTTCTACGGTTTATATCCATTTTCATACACGAGGGTCAAGAGAACATGTCAAATTAATTGTTAATGTCGTGCCTTGTTGCAAAAGTTCGGTGTCAGGGCTCGAACCCATGACTGTTGCATCTACATCCACCCACTCGGTATCGAAACAACGAATACTGCATTGATCGCATTACTTGTTAGCAGCTATGTATGACAAAAGATAACTCACTATAGAGAATGAATAGGGTCTGCATACACGCCCAAAACCGCACAAAAGCTCTCAGAAAAAATGAAATAAAAGTCGAACAGAATGCGACCCTGCGTAACAACAAACACGGGGGGGGGGGGGGGGGTCCTTGATGAATTGTTGAATCCTCGTTAATTACTAATCTATTCAAATGTTGTACATAACTCTAGGGACAAAATTTGTTGTTGCAAATTGAAAGTTTCCAGAGGCGAACCCGACACAGCACCATCTAATGAACGCGGTTGAACGATGTTTTTTTTTCTAATAAGAGTTTACTAATAAATCAAAGTGTATGCATCATCCCTGCAAAAAACGTTGTGATGGCAACCGGAAGTTTGCTAGAGGCAAGTCCGATAAACTACAAAGAAAGCATGATTGATCCCATCCATACGCTGCACTAAATATCTTCCCACAAAGGGCTCATGAACTATTCATTAAATCATAATTATATCATGATTCAATTAAATTTGACAGTTAAAAATATGTCATTCTGTCTTTACAGTACGAATGCAAATTGTTTGTTGAGCTCATTCTACATTGATTTACTTGTCTGGTAACAAAAAATTAGCTAAGGAACCAACCCCTCTTTCCCTCTCTCTGTTTATCATGCAGTGCTCTGACGCTATACGTTCCAAAATAAATTCCCGATTTAAATGATACAAAATATGCGATAACACATGTATGAAGTGTATTGTACTCTCGGGATATTATTAAGTAGGCGTAGTCCTAAACGACTCACTAATGCGTGAGATGTCATCAACAAACATGGTTTGAAAACTATACCACAAACTATTTGAAAGCCCATGTTAAGTGATAGCGTACTGCAGTATATACAACAATCTTGAAGAAACTATCCTATGTTTTGACAGGCGTCGCACTGTCTGCCAATATGCGAATGTGTACAATGGACGATTTGTGTTGTGGCCTTTGTGGGATCAATATCTTTAGAAACCAATTTTGATCACGTAATAGCCCGCCAAGTAGTTCACACAAAACGCGGTCACGTCACCAACTCCTTGAATAATCGTACTGTTAATATGCAAATGCGTTCCTTCGTTAATCATGAAGGTCCATCAATCCTGGGACTGATAACTTCACGGGGGACATGTTTCATTTGTGAGTTTAGGTATGCACAGTATTCCAACATCAGCTGATGTCAAGAAATTATGAAAACGACAGTGTGCGACAAGTGAACTTTTTATTGTCAACTATTTTGACTGATGCTTGAACTGTTGTACCTATTGTGAATCTATTGTAACAATACTTTGATTAGTGTATTGTACGTTTCCTTTTTCCCCCTCCATTCTACCAATACACGGCTTTGACTTTTAAGTCACGCTTTGCCCCTCCCACTCGCTCCTTATTAAACTCAAGAGGAATATGAGGGCAATAATGAGTTATTTTAAAAGAACTTTATGATTAATAAAGCCCATTTGTGCTTTGTAAAAGCCATCCCCTATTTTCCCCTTGTTACAAATGCTCAACTTCATTCTCGCTTGCCCCCTCTCTCTCATTCCTTTCTTCAATAGTTTTACATTTACATCTCAAAGGGCAATGATGATTGTACATGACTGTATGTAATCATAAGTCATACGTTGGCGTTGGGTGTGTTTTTTTCCAAGGATATCTCATGGGTTTTTTCCTATCTTTGCTTTTTAGCAGCAGGATGGTTTCGGATTTGCTTGTCCTCAATGTATTCGTCCTTCCGTTTTTGTTTTTTTCGTTTGGAGGTACAGGAAGGTACAGAAGCAGTGAAAGCCAGTCATGCGATGCAATCCACGCATTGTTTGGAGACAATACAGAGAGTTCTACAGATGCAAAGTACGTGAATATAATAGCTGAACCACGGACCTACTAGCTATAGGTCCATGGCTGAACAAAGCGCTGTGACCTCCAACCGAGCGCGTCACAATAGAAAAGAAATGAGTAAACACCATTTGCAGACCAATCTTCTACGGTTCTACCACATAATAGGATTCTTTTTTATCACGTTTGTCGCTCTTTTGATTAAGTTTGTGGCTCTTTTTCAATATGATCTATGGATTTATTCAAAAAGAGATGTGGTTATGACATTTTTGTCTTATTGTACAGCATCTTTGGCGCCTTACAAAATGTGCTGTGAACCGTTTACCCTCCTCTTCTTTTACCTACCCCAAAGTTGTTGTTTTTTAGGGCGGAGGGTCAAGTAATTAAATAAAAAGGTACTGCACGAAATGTTTATTAATTTTGCCAGCCCATCTGTATGACTATCTGTTAGTGTGTTTAACTGCATATAGACCTCACGAAACAATTAAACCAATGTCTAGCTTTTATGAAAGATGGTGCTGGTATTAATTTGAAATGAGACCATCATATCTATTTTTATTGTTACCGTGCTCAGTTTACTTTTACTTTCGAGTTTATATCTATCATTAAACTATTTTTGTCCTTAACCACAGCGTTCGTTTGCTGAATTGAATTGAATCTAATTGAATTGATAATGGTTTTATTGAGAATGTGGTTATGTATTACATCTGTAGATTATGCTGCATGAATGTCTCTGAAATGGCGTTACATGACTCGGGTGATAGAGCGATGTTGTATTTTTGTAATGACATAGAAAATGAATAGAGGATCGATTAAAAGTTGGTGCGTTTAAACTGCCCTAGTTCAGTAAGGCATTGTACGGACACTTTCAAACTGGCATATACCAAGAATGGAAAAGTCCACTATTTTTTTTAATCTTTTCCAGAACTCGCCCCTTCCCCTTCTCGGCCCAATACCTTCTTCTTATTAGCATATCTTACCTCTGAACATGGGGATGGCCCTCCAGCACGTGATGGGTCCCTGACTGCAGTACTGTCCGAACGACACCTCCATGAAGAAGAGGGGTAATCCAGCAAACACCAACATCACGATGTACGGGACCAGGAAAGCACCTTGAACATAAAAAAATGGCGATAATTATATTACAAATAATAGTATGACGAAGAACAAGAACAATAATGATAATAATGATAATAGTATGACGAAGAACAAGAACATTAATGATAATAATAACAATAATGATAATAATAATACGATTGATATGACGAAGAACAAGAACAATAATGATAAGAATAATAATGATAATACTAACAATGATAATGATAATGATAACAATAATAGTAATTATAATGCTATTACTAATAATAATATATGTGATTTGTAAGGCGCCAAATCAACTTGAAATCAAATGCCCACTTATGCAAAAATCAAATCACATCTACCTTATAAACAAAATAACAACATGAGTATAAGAAAGAACATACTAACATTAAAAAGAACAATCATAATTTTACCGAACCGAACAGGTACGAGATGATGAAAATCAACAGGGGTGCAAAAGCGGTTTTTCTTTTGCTCATTTTATCCATATCCATATTTCTTCTAGAATTTGTTTTTAATGAAAAGAAAGATACCGCCATTTCCCTTTCTTAGATCATGTATTCGTAATAGGTCTATTCTTAGATGTGACGAATCCCCGTTTGTTCTATTCACACTGTGTTGAGAAATGATATATCGTCTTTAATTTCGATTCCCTACAGTATTGTACTTTGTAATATTGTATATCTGATGCTTACTTAATTATGACGGATTAAAGTATTAAGACATTTTCTGTAATTTCACTCATGTTATTCATATTGAATTTAAACAAAAGTGAATACAAAAAAGTGAATGAAAGCAATTAAGTTTTACACACGAGTTATCGAGAGGTTACTGGAGTGTTTTTCTGATGATAAACCAACTTTAAACTTTAAAAAACATGTGTATTTATAATTGCCAACCCCCCCCCCTTTCCCCTTTCTCTTTTTCTGTCTCTGTCTCTCATTCTCTGTTTCTATCTCTCCCTGTCTCTCTCATTTTATTGGCACTTAAATCCACACTGTTTCAAATACCAGCTTTATGGTTGCCTTCTAGATATATTTCTGTCATAGTCTGATAACTAATAGGTTTTGGGAGGCAGGCATATTACACCCACCTTACAATGTCTATATGAAAATGACTACAGTGAAGTAGAAAGTTGACAATACAAACACAGTTTGCCCACCCCCAAATAAATATCATACATAAAATTAGGTCAAAATCCTTTTAATGTCTCATGTTAACAAATAGACTATGACATATATTACGCAAATTGTTTTCTTATTCAGAGTCGTCCTCCAAACGAAATGGTCTATCAAACTAATAATCATAAAAACATGATTAGGCATGTATGTCATTCCAAAAATTTATTTACAAAGATAACAGAACATTTTTATGACTTTGCTTTTGTGCTATCTAGCAGAGATTAAACGTTTGTATTATTTCGTGTTTTACATCTTCTAATTCTGTCCTTCATACTCCTAAATACAAAACATTTACGAGCTTTACGATTGAGTGATATGGGCATTTTATATATATATATATATATGAAATCTGTTCAAAGGCCGTTGGTAAACAGAGTTCTGTAGTGTATTTAGTCTACATAATTATATTAAGGTCGACACAAGTAGAACCTCACCCTTGATCGACAAATTTAAATATATGATATGATATATATATATCTATATATAAAAGCATGAGCTTGTGTCAGGATAAATGGTTTGGAAAAGTTTCTGTGTATCTTTAACGATAGAAAATGTGCAATTATTGCAATTTCAAGGTTGATTCCTTTGTCAATGTATAACAGAATATTTATATAAATGTATATATGACTTAAACATCACGATCTGAAATGGTGAAAGGGACATAGATAGACGGACATACAGAAAGAGAGAGAGAGAGAGAGACAGAGAGACAGAGAGAGACGGACGGAGAGAGAGAGACGGACGGAGAGAGAGAGAGAGAGAGACGGACGGACAGAGAGAGACAGATATAGATGCAGATAGCGAGATAGACACAAAGAGATAGACATCTAAACAAAGACATAAATAGACAGAGAGACAGACACACAGAGAGAGAGAGAGAGACAGAGGGGGATAGGGAAACAGATACAGACAGATACAGACAGAGATAGACAGAGAGGGGAGAGACAGAGAGACAGAGGGAGAGAGAAAGAGAGAAGGGGGTGGAAGAAACCCGGATATAAACTCACCTCCTCCGTTCTCGTAGGCCAGGTAGGGGAACCTCCAGACATTCCCGAGACCTACAGCGTACCCCACGCAGGAGAGGATGAAGTCCAACTTGCTACCCCAGTTACCCCTCTCAACATTCTCATCTCCTTCATTCTCCTCCAACACCTCAACAGCTCCCTAAAACATTACAAAATGAGAGGCATGGTTAATAAAAATACGCCGTTTTCAATATACCTGGCAGGATTCATTCCTCGATTGCACTGCATGAGCGTCAAGTTTGCATTTACATGTACAGTGAAACCTGCTTTAGTGACCACCTGTCTACAAAGACCAAATTTGTTGTTTCCCTTGAAAATGGTTTCACATTGAAACATGTCCTAAATGCACCTGTACTTAAACACCACCTGCCTATAAAGACCACTTTTCTTTTCTCCATTGAGTGGTCTTTGTAGACAGGTTTCATTGTATCAGATTTAAAAAAATCCACAGTACTTCATCAAATTCAATAAATCTTTAGATTATGCAATTCCATGCTTAATCGAATACGTTGCTATACCAACCAATTTGATCAACGATCCGTATTTTTAAAATGTATTTATTATTGAATTACTGTATGCTTATAAATAAATGCTCGTTTACTCATTATTACATAGGCCTATATCGCTTTTTTGTTTAAATGTGACAAAAGTATTTGGATATTTACCATGTTTTCTATCGTGAATAAAACCAAAATTGAGCTTAATGAACATTCGAGCATGTGACAAAAATACCTTGTGCCAGCCGTAATCATTGAATTTTTGTCTTTTTTGTTCACTGTTTGACTTAAAGTTTGGGCTCTAATTTGCGCCTATACGTTAGAACAGTATATCCCGTTTAAATTGTGCCCAGATAATGTAACACGTCATTGTGATGTTCACACATTTCGATGGGCTCATAAGGCTACTGAAATTGCCTTAGTTGATTTTTCAAAAGCCTTTGCTATTATGGTATACCTATTTCTTGTATGTCAACTACACGTCGATAAATCTTATGTTAATTAGCTCGCTGAGATATCTTAGCTTGTAAGGACAGCAAATTAAAATCATGAACATCTAAACCATATTGTGATGACCTGGGTTTCATAAGGCTTCCAAACTTGCATTGTAGCTTATAGGATGGTGAGGATTGGGGGAGTTCTAAAGTTTCCTTTTCTCCCGACAATACTACCCACTGTTCCGAACAATCACCTACAAATGGGAAACTTAAGCGGCTTTTAAAGACCCTTAGACGGGATGAGTAACAACTCTAGGATGATTACAAGGGAGTATTGTTATTTGCTCCTAAGCATTAGTTATTCTCGTTCATAGAGGAAGAAAAAAGGCTTGGAAATTGTACAGCAAGAACTAGCACGAATGTATCAGGGATGTCTCACCTATCTGGTTGTATGCATCAAGCTTCAACTATGGTTGGTCGATTGTGAATTTCATGTGGCGATTAAGATATTCCTTATTTTGGGTGGATTTTTTTTTCTTCCATAGATTAGATTAGACAAAGACAGCACAGTGGCTCTACATTCATTCTGGTTTTACATATCATATCCGACCACATTCTTAAATGTTATGTGGGTGTAATTCGTGCAAACATACTATAGGCCATTCCTCTTTGTTCCATACACATAAATTTAATGTAAATTTATACAAAATTACACTTTGTCCAAAATAAAATCGCACATTTTGTGGGTAAATATTTGCGAGTAAGAAAAGTGTCTTTTTTATAACACTGGCGAGTCACAAGATGTGTGTCGAGTACATGTTGATCACTTTAAGTGATTATACGCTTTAAATACATCCTGGAAGTGACTTGGCAGTTGGCTTGGCTTTTTATCCCACCAATGTGAGAAATTATTTAATAAACTGCATCCGTAATTTCGAAATGGGATTCCATTTTGTTTTGTTTCATTTTTTATTTGTTGTATTTTCTATTTTATATAAATTTCTTATCTTCAGCTGATGTTAACGGACGTGCTTAGGACATGTGATCTATGTCAAGGGTTGGGGGTTGTCCGACCCAATTTGTGGACTAGCGTGGCGAATTTTAACCAATAAGCGAGAAGAAAATATTCTAATAACGTGTTCCTTCTTTATTTAATTTGCCTGCAAAAGATTATATTAGCCGACAGAAGAGATGCAGTATGGGGAGGGGGATTGCCGTGACTTAATTTAAACACAGTGACTATTTTCCGCCTATGATTATTATGCAATAATCTCTACGGATGTTGTTACCCCCACACGGATGACCCCTTCCCCTCTCGCCTTCAAGCGATCCCCATGTTAAGTTATTATAATTTCAAAGAACTTTACGAAGGTTATATACAATAATACAATACAATATGACCACGGAGTGCAAATGGATTATCCAGCCTGCATGACAAAAGAAACTAGGCGAGGTCGAAGAAAGAGGGACAGTCATCGCTTCCCCCACACCCCCGGGACCAATGTTCCGAATTCCACTCGAGATTCCCAAGTGGGATTGGGATAAACTAGGGGAAAAGACCGGGAAGTCTGATTATTATGCACACTATATTTGCTATTTAATAGGTGCCCATTTGTTCCATCGTGGAAACAAAACAAGACTTGGGAATTGTTTGCTAGGTCATGCTATTCTACGAGAATCCTTTCAGATGCTACGTCTTTATGATTCGCCCTAGTTCCCCTTATATTACCCCTCTGTCATGCTCTTATTAACATCCATGGGATTTTGACAGAACAAAGGGGGAGACACAAAGACGATTGCGTAACGGCTAGGATAGAGTACATAATGGCATAGCCTTGGGCAAATACAATCTCCATAATGACACAAAGGGGACGTCTCTTTGGCGAAAGTCTTGAAAACTTGCTTCTCATGCTGAGTTAGGAGACCCAGATCCAATCGAGCAGGAATTCTTCTAAAATGTTAACCCCAATGGCCGTATTCTACTACAATTTCAACACTTGGTTTAATATGATTATTGTCCAAAAATGGTAAAGTAAGTCTGGAGGTTAAAGTGGTTTTAGAACCAGTGTCGGGTTTAACTGAATTCGGACCAAAAAGTTGATAATTTCCACAATAGATCTCTTTACCTTACTATACTCTAAGAAATCTAACTCATTTAAGTTAAAAGGAGCTCGGTAAATAATGTCGTGAGATCGCAAAAAAATAATTGTTTGTTCTGGTAGAGAGGGCGATGAATGCCTTTGAAATATATAGCAACCTGTTTTGTCGTTTTCTTCTTTTCAAGTCCTGATCTTCATTTTGTTTATAGACATACCCTCTTTTATTACCTCTCATAAAGTCCATCTTGTTTGCTTCTTGTTTAATGGTTACGTAGCGCTTTTATTAGGATGATGAACTAGTATAAAGAATTTCCGTTGAATAGTTCAACCCCTTACTCAACCTCCCCCCCCCTAAAAAGAGGGGTGGGGAGAGCAACAATACTTTGCTCTATAAAGCAGTTTTCTAGAATTTGATCTTTTTTGTGCGTGTGACTATTAAACGACTTTAATAGACTTTTGACGCTTACCGTCCACCAATTTAATAGAATTCCTCTAATCTGGCGCGAAATTTTTAAAGAAGATTTTCAATGAAACTAATACAAAATGTTATGTTATTCACTAGTACTATTCAGTAGAACTGTTTTCAACGAAAGCAAATATAAATGAAAGTGTTGAAGTGATAGAAGTGATGATGAAATATCAGCCACGTACGTTGTCCCACGAATTCAAGATGTGTGGATTTAACTGTTGTAAGGGTTATTCTAACGTTTCTCCGAAAGCAATGATTAATAAGGTGTCGTAGCTCTGTACATACTAGATACAAACCGCTATGTCTATGTAATTTAGGGTCATTGTTTTGCGATACTTATGTCAAGTATTCGATTGTGCTAGACAGATAAGAAAGATTGTGCTAGACAGATAAGAAAGATTATACAACACAAGTGTCGCCTTGTTGTTGGTTGATGGCTTCCGACATTTTCAGAGTAGTAATGTTGATGCGGTTACCACGAAACGCGATCTATGGATTTACACTGTATGGAAAAATACCAAGAAAGTTTATTGAAAAGAGATTTTATTTCGCCACCCCCGGACTGTGTAAGGTGCAAATATTGGCCAACACGGAAGTATTATTTGCACTGCAAATATATACACAAAGATAAAGAACCAAAACATAAAAGATATTGGATCTTAACACATTGGGATAAATAAGTGCGGTAGATACCCGCAGTCAGGGCGATAATAAACTGAATAAATTATGAGGTTCTTCGAATACTTCATGAAACGGAAATGGATATCTTAAACAAGACAAGGGGTTAATGAATTGGGCATGGGTTTTCTTTTTCTTCTTCTCTAAAATACATACTTTGCCGGATTTCGATGACTCCATTCTAAGACAAATATGGTTTGCAGTTCCTTGACGTTTAGGTCCTTGAAGTTTGAACTTCAGCAATATTTACTTCGAATTCTTTCTTCATAAGCTATGCATTATTGTTGATAAACATTATCCCTAAAACTGTACATTGTAATTTATATGTTCACTAAATGCAGTGCATTGATGCACATTTTGATAGTTGAAAAACTTCAGATCACGAAAGATCAATCATACTGATCAATCATACTGCTCATTCGATATCCGTTTCATGGTCCAAGTGACATGAAATGCAATTGAATATAGCTGTCTTTTGTTCTCGCCTACGGTCTGCTAAAAACATTTTATAGATGCAAAAACAGAAAACGAGAAAAAAGAACCGAATGTCTTCATTGGAAAGCTGCCAGAATGCATTCGTCAACACTATTGTCCTCATCCATGAACTATTCGTCAATTTTGTTTAGGAGTCACGTGACCGTGTTAAGAATATAGACATAAACCTATAAAGCGCAATATCATAAAACCACTGTGAAACGTCGAAACATATCGTTTAGTCTGGTGTAGAAATATGAAGTTACAGCAGCGTGGCGAATGATTATTTCAAATAAGCTTCCACGACCTGTATAAGTGGAGAAGTGCAGCTTGTTCTTTGGTTATTGTGCTTTTAAATTGACCCATTCCGCTTCTTTTCATTCTATGAAAAGAATATTTAAAGAAAAGAAACCGGTACCTGCTAGTCTGCGATTTATATCGGAATTCAACAATACCCATCCTTGTGATTCACTAAAATCATTGTTAAGTAGGGCCGGACCCAAAATTTTGTGAAAGGGGAGGGGCGCAACACCAAAAAAAAAAACTCTGAGAAGAAATATTTGACAATGAAAGGTGTAATGTGGGTCGCAAACTCGAAGAGGGCACAATGTTTCTTCGATTTAAAGCACAAAAAAGAGTTCCTATGAATGAGGCCAACTAGAGATATAATTTGTTGTGGACATTTTGTAATGGAGAGCACGATAAAGTTGAATATAATTACTCCGTTAATCTCCTACTCTTTCAAAGTATTAACAAATTTTAAATGACAAAACATACACGAATTTGATTTATGAAAGGCTGGTCACATACATTGCCGACTGCTATATTCTTTACACGGATCCCCCTTTTTTCACTAGAGTCTACCTTTACGACTTAAAGGTGGATTGTTTGCCATCCAAAATGATTTCATAAAACAAAAAACTTTAAATCATGTTCAATAATACATTACAAATACAAGTGAACAAAACGGTTTATTGAAAATAATCATCATGGTACAACATTGTAATTACCAACGAAACACACCTCCCAGCCTCTTTTTCGCATTAATTGTTGATACTCGGTGAACGCCGTGTTGTAAAATTATACAAAAAGTGCAAGTAACATGAATACAGGACCCCTAATTTCTACACATTTACTTTCCAAATATGGAACTGAAAGTTCAGAAGCCGAACATTTAGATGGCTAACATTTCATTCATTTCACAAATGCTTTAAACCGTTCTCGAAATTGAAAGTAACAAACCCTTTGCGACAGACACAAGTAAAATGTTGCCCTTTTATCGTAAAGTTCACCCGTTGCTTTCGCAAGAATTGCATTTTTGGCACATGAGATGACTTTTCCGAAATCCTATTCGTAGGGTTGTAAGCGATTAATTTCATGTGCCTAACTTCCCCTGAAGTATAGACGGACGGTTTAAAGTAAACGTACAACGATGGTCGATGCGACCTGACCATTTTTGGTGTATCCGAATTCCATCCGAATTCCACAACACAACAAAATATCACTTCAATATTTGAAAAAAGAAATATCAACTTACATCTTCGATTGCTTTCCCCATATTCAGTCAATGTTCCACCAGCAGAATTTCAGATAAAAGATGGAAGAAGTTTCTTCAAAAACAATACAAGCAGTCGACTTAAAATACCAACTGCAACTGTGCGCTCTACCACTATCCGCACACACACATACACACCACGACGAATAAGTTCGTGGAAGTTTTGTTTCTTCTTCTTTCTTTTGGGATTGGGCGCGGCCGTCTACACACACACACTCACACACGGTTATACAGCGCAACACACCCTTACGCCACACACAGCGATATATGGCGGACTATTAATGCGTTTGGTATTTGCATTGTCCGCGAGCTTTTCATGGTCGTTAACGCCAAGATATTCTTCGACGATTGATATACCATGCTTTAACAAGCAGGTGTATTGTTAAGAATTGTATTGGCGTGTCAGAAAATATGCAAATTTTCTCCCAATTATGACTACTCAACTTGAACGTCGGGCAAAATTGTCTGTTATTCGCGAAAGACTTTAGGGGGAGGAATATTCGTTGTTTGCGAATTGGCAGGTTAACAAAAAGATCTTATTCATCAATATGATGCTGATTTAGATGAGTAATGGTGTAATTAGTATTATGTTACCTGTCTGTTTCTATCAAAAAGTTTATTTTAATGATGCTGTTCCAAAAATCAAATAATTCTTCTCATGCTTGTATAGGCACAGTAATATGTAGACATATTTTACTTTCCTCGACTGAATGTAATTGTGTTAGATGGTCCTGCAATTGTTTTCATCTAGATTATAATTGTTTAACCTCGGTTGTGTATTAACACTTTTCACTTTTTCACCTGTAATATACCGGTTTACTTAAACATATTCAAATATATGGATGTTTCTTTCCTGGGGACCTAGTGACAAGTTATTCAATAAACCTCTTACCAATTAATGAAGTACAATACTTGGAATCCAGTCTGCTAACATTAATTGTTGCTATGTGGGCAAGCCTTGGGCAAACTTTCAGGTTGTCAAGAACAAACTTTGTTTAAAAAGTATGCATAACAATTGTATATGTTTGTAAAACGGTCTATTGTATAGACCATTTTCGTAATGTAACAAAATTGAATGCACATGTCTTTGTCAATTGCCTTGTTTTTAAATATTTCATTCACCTGTTACGAATAATTGATCTCAATACTCAACATACAAATTGCATTTCATGGTTTTAGGTAGGACAAGCCTTAATATTTGTTCTATCTAGGAGTTTTAAGAGCTGGAGTCATATCTAGCTCATTCCCTTTGTACTATCTTCGATGCCACCAGGAGAAAATAATTAAAGTCAGGCAAACTGGACCTTCCTTGAAGATACGTAGACCAGGGATGTGATAGAGAAGGAGTTGAATCAAGTCGCTCTCCTTTGACCCCATGCTTCAAGTCCAAGCCGCCGAAAAGTTATGCGCAAAGTTACATACCACTTTCTCAAGTTAGCTTCATATTTTCACGAAGTAACGGTAGTGAGGAAAAGCCGCACGCAAATTGTACGCGATTTTCATTCGCTACCGCCACTTCGTAAAAATAGGGACAGATGATGTCACAGGTAGAATGAGATCTGGAGGATTTTTAGGGTGGAGCTTAGCAAGTTTGAAGAAGAAGACAAAATAGATGACACACATTCAGAAGTTTACATATTAAAATATGAGATGTTTGCAGGAATACACACCAACAGGAATAAACCTTCATTTGGATGACAGGGGTCCTTTAAATCATCATCATCATTAAATGGCTAGCACTTCCCCATTTATATTGTGGTACTATTCGTTTCTATTCATACCTGTATGATAAGCTTATGTAGCCTTGCTAGATGTTGAAAGTGATGTCCTAATCTATCATGCGAATTTATGTTCTGAAGGCTGTACAAATAATTATGTTTAATGGCTAAATTTACTTTATAGATGTAGTCCCACGAACATACAATAATTCTTCACCCCCCCCCCTCCTACCAACAAAATATGCACCGGGGGTATCAATTTTGACAGACATGGCGCATTATAAATGATGACTACTATTATCTTCTTTTTTAAAATTAAAAATAGCAAAAGATGAAGTGTCAGTCAGCAATCATTTTAGAGCGCGCGCATGTAAGCAACTACCAAACGAAATGTATGCATACTCTGAATTTAACTTTAATGAATTATAATATCAATTATTCCGTTTCCTTGACAGTCATTAGGAATATATTCTCCAAAATGACAAGGGTCAAGTTCTTAAAATATTTGCTACTGTTACGTCATGATGATGAGTTGATAAGTCGTGTATTAGGTGATGGTACAAACTGCACTGTTTTCCATGATATTATTAAGTTGGATTACATTTCACCCATTTCACAAAGCCCTTTTTCAATGACAAACGACAAAAATCAGTGACAAATCTGTTGATGACCAATCAGAAGCAAGGATTTCAGTAGCTAGTATAAAAAAAACCGTCATTTGTCACTGATGACAAGTTTTGTGAAACGCCCCCAGTTTCTCACCTCATTTCATGGAAATGATTGTGACAATAGTAATCTTGATAGATAAATGTTGTATCTTCTCAGAACTTTACTGATTAATAAAGACTGATCCATAAGATTGCTCAACAGAGTTCTGAAAATATATTCGTTTATCCGCTCATATCCATTTCAGAAGAAGAAAAAGATATACAGTGTAATACATAAAATAGAGACATTATATCATTAATAATTGTACATTTGATATCTAAATAACTGTGACAGAGTGCATTCATATAAATATGTTAGGTAATATGAAAATGAGAGGAAAAAAAAACTTTTAAAAGGCAACAGGGCCCTTATTAACTAAGTCCTCTTTGATGGATATAAACATTATCTATCAAAAATAAATCATATTGTCACAATCATTTTAATGAAAAGAGGAAATATTTTTCTAACTTCATGGGTAACGGTGTAATTAGCGAGCGGACTTTCTTGCGTGTAGCAGATGAAAATGCTTTCACTTGCATGCACGTACTCCATTAATCTGGTGGCGATTCTACCCCCCCCCCCCCATTTCGATGACATGGGCTTTTGATAATCAGGTCTTTTGTCATATCTGTTTACGTTGGGTCTTTACTTTGCATGCTTTGTAGACCCTACAGAATTTATACAAAAGGTCTTTTGTAATCATTCCAAGTCAGAAAATAGAATCTGCGTGCGTCATATTTGCTTTAGTCTTGTTTTGGGGCACATCGAGCTCGGGGGTATGGTAATTATAAAATAGAAAGTTGAATTTACAGTGAATTTGCTGTCATTTCCACAAGGCATTTGAGGGATTTTTAAAGAGTGATTGTGTTCAATCATAAGGTTTTAAAGATGATGTAACACATAAATAATCGTTCAAGATATCACGGTCATTGTAATTTGAAACTGTCAGAAGGTGAACGATTTCTTAAATCATAGGACGTTTCGAATGTGGAGCAGGAAGTCGCTGGAGTTTCATACTTGCATTCGTATTGCATATTGATTAATGAGTCTTATCATGAGTTCATCTGAAATAATTTGGAGGTAAATGTCAGGTTGGAGTCAGGGGTGAAATACCTTAAAGTCATCATGATCAATGTAATGTAAAACTGTCAGAAGGTGAACGCTTTCTTAAATATACTATGTCCCTTTTGCAGCCAACATCAAATTCTGTAGAACTTTGCAGGAATTATGAATATGTCATGTATGTCCTACCTGTGAAATTTAAACGTTAGCAGTGTCCTTAATAGTCAAATTATGCAAGGAAACCTGTTTACTTGCTAGACTTCACGGTCAGACACTATTGAGTGACTGTCTGTTATTTCTTCTTTGGTAATAACATACATAAAATGAGCAGTAAAGGGTACATGAGCATTTGTCTACATCAATAACCCACTTCTTGTAATGGCCAAAATTAAACTGATTGAATCTTTCTGCAGTATAAAACGTACGACCATTCGGTACAATGAAAATCTGACTATTACAGTACTGGCTCTATAGCTCTTAAGTCGATTCGACAACTAATAGTCTTTATTTTCCCACTTAAATATATTTTCAGCTCCCCCCTTTTTTTTAAGGAAAGTTCTCAATTAGTATTATCATTCAAATGCCGTTGGAATTTAACCTTTTCTTTTTTTTGGCCTGCAAATGGGACAAATGGGACATACCTTTAAATCATCGGGAATTTAGAATGTAGAGCGGGAATTTAGAATGTAGATCAGATATTCACTTGGTTTTTCATACTTGTATTATTACTCCTGATCAAAAGGAAGCACCGGGTCACTTCACAAAGTAACAATGAGCATTTCAAAAAGTCGATTCGTTTTCTTTTGAGGCATTCGTTTGAGTAAAAATCGTTTGTGACGTTTCAAATGAATCTCGGGGGTCAAACAAGTGTCAAATACCGGTGTTGATATACTACACCTGAGAAAAAAAAATTAAATTACACTGAAGGGATATGATGACAACCCATTGCTATATGCCTGATGTCCTGAAATTTATCATAATAAACCTGAATTATGTCATTTGTCAAAAATGTTGCATTTTCACTGCTACTGATGTATTGTTATCATTAATTTGTGTATCTAATGATCTAATGCGAATGATTTCTTATCAATAATTCATTTTAGATAAGATGAGTGATTATTATCTTCTAGATATAAACAGGTTTATATCATTTGAGCTTAAAACTTGTTATACGACCCATGCTCCTGCGACAATATTATTGTTCTGCAGTGAGTGAGTGCAGTCAGTTCTTGCAATAATTACACCTAACCCCAATCTTTAAACCATTCTCTAAAACCCAATCGCATCGCTAACTATAACCATATATATATTTAACGATATAAAGCCATGAGCAATCACCACTGGATGAAAGGTCGGATCTCCTTTAAAATTTTCCTTCTTTTCGATTAACTCTCAGGGTTTTTAAAAATCTTATCAAACAAAGTTATCCTCAGTCATGGGAGTAATCTATTTCTTTGAGAGCTTTGAAAACATTAACAAAATACACTTAATTTTTTTTTCTTCAAATGCTAAAACGCCCATTGCTCCTTTGTAGTTTCCGTACATAAATCACTTACAATAAGAACTACATGTATGTTCGCTCACCTATTGCATATATTGGGTTGCAGACAAAAAATAAATTAGTCATGAACCTGCATGTTGAAAGAAACTTTCTATAAAAACGGGCTAACCTGGCGTGAAGGAATGTTATTGTT